GTGGAAGGCTCCGTAATAAAAATAATACCTATCCCACCAAGTTATCGCCCGTGGAAAATTTAAATCTACCCTTACCATCTTGATCTGCAATCTCCTGTTTTAAAATATGTTTAAAATCATAGAATCAATGGTTTCCGCCGAAAAATAAACTTCCATTAATGAAACCTTTGACCCCGCTTGAAAACAAATTTGAAGCCGATGCTGAATTACGTATTCATTAAGTTTTCATGTACTGATTTGAAAATAAGTGAAATAAATAAATAATAGTACTTCGCCCCAAGAGCCTGGGAGGTGCAATTTCCATCGAGGCGTCCTGAAACATGTACGAAACAAACAAGTCCGAAACATGTTACAAACTATTTTTTCTGAAAGTCCGTTTCAAATGAGCTTACCAGCGAAGTTGGCCGGATTCTGCGAAAGCTCTGTGAAACACATTTCAAAAGCATTTTCATAAAGATTATTCAAGTGATTTTTAAGCCAATCGGATGGTATGGTATTTTACCATAATTACGGGTGAAATAGTCAAAAACGGTGAAACACGTATAAGTTCTTAAGTATAAAGACGATTGCACTTAAGCAGAAACTACGCTGGTAAAAAAAAATAACAGTTCATAAAACTGTTTTCCGGTATTTTACCATAATTACGGGTGAAATAGTCAAAAACGGTGAAACACGTATAAGTTCTTAAGTATAAAGACGATTGCACTTAAGCAGAAACTACGCTCGAACAACATTTGATCTTCATTTTCCACAAGGAATGAGACGTCTCAAGTGAATTTTCTTAAAAACTGTTACAAATGAGCATTCATATTTGATCCAAGATGGAAGGATTTCGCGAAAAGTATGAGATATGAGATGAATTTTTACAAAAATCTTAAAATGAATTTGAAGACAATCAGATGGTATTAAAAATCTTTTTTGTAACAATTTTCCGCCTATCTTCCACAGTTGTGAGTGGAATCGAACAAGATTTAAAACTTCGCTTAAAATGTCTTTCATTCATATATTCCACAAAAACGTCCCAAACGAATTTTAATAAAAATTCTTAAAAATGAGTTTTAATCCCACCAAATCTTTTACACCCATTTCCATTGTGAATTTGAACCAATAGCTTCCATTTAAGGCCGATCGAATGTCCCGTTTTTTATAACCTGCACCCATTAAGAATGGGTAAAAGGGGTCTTATTTAACATGGAGAAGGAAGCATCTCCGACCCCATAAAGTATATGTGGTCTTGATCAGCATCAATAGCCAAGTCGATCTAGCCATGCCCCTCTGTCTGTGCGTCCGTCCATCTGTCCGTATGTATGAACGCAAGGATCTCAGAAACTGTAAGAACCCGACTAGAGCCTCTAACTTGTTTCCACATTTGCGTATGGAAAATATAAGGTAACTAATTCTTTTTGGCTCTTACGGCTTGGGCTGTGCGTTGATTAGCAGGCAGTCAGGGCAAATATATAAATAATATAAACTATTCATACAAATGTTCGTTATCTATTTAAAACGTATTTCGATAATTTCAGGGTAATGATAGCGAGGTGCAAGGCGATGTCAAAGGGACGTCGCGATTCAGTCAGTGGTTTGCATCCAAGGAGACAACAAATACCAACGATCAGCTTTACTTTGGACACTCTTCTACGCCAGATACGCAAGGTAAGCAATTATGTTATGTATTTACATGCAGAGTGTTTTTTATGAGAAAAGCCTAGTTAAGCACTGTCCCTATTTTATGTGATGTTCAACAGTTAAGTTGTCTCTGCGTGTGACTGTCCACAACACTTTTGGTGTCCAATTGCACCTATTGAAGTCTCTGCTTAGGGTTTTCATTCATAACTCTACATTTTTTTTTAACTGTCTTTAGTGTCTTGTCGTGTCTTTAGTGTCGCGCAGTCGTTTACATCCGATATTGTTACTATACTTGGTTCATCGCGTGAAGAGTATATTGGTGTTGCCCGTCAGGATGTTCGCTCCGACCGAAAAATCAAATTTATACTTCAAATACTTGTGCATGCACGCCCGCTAGGGGACCGCGAAAATCTATTTAAAGCTAAAAACCCGAAGAAGGAGCCAAAGCTTTGGATAATATAATATTGTAATAAAATGTGTGAAGCATAAAATAAATCTTTGAGCCTATAAAGTATATATATTCTAGATTAGCATCAACAGCCAAGTTTAGATTGTCACGTTCTTCTGTCTGTCCGTCCGTCTGTCTGTCGCTATGCTTTATGTTCGCCTTGAATATTTGCATAGGTCCTTCTGTTGCGGGCAGGACACAGTTCGGAGTCGGCTTGATATGATATAGCTGCCATTTGAATGATCGGTCGAAAGTTAAACAACTTGCACTTTTATATTATTCAAGTATTCTTAAACACACTCATTCTTTCGTTCTTTACATTAACATTACATCGGACAATATAATATTTAGTTATATATACCAAGCACGAGATTTCTTATCTCCACTATGAATCTCATATATGGTTTATGCAAATTCTTATCAAGTTCGGATAACTAGGTCTTATAGGAAAGATTACTCGAAAAATGGGTTTTTATATGGCATATTTTTATATTTTCCAAGATATTTTCATCAAGCTCAGCATTTGCGAATTGCACACACCCGCTAAAGGGTGTTACAACTTTATCCTTAATTTCATGCTTAATTGTTGTATATTGTAATTTTTAGAAATTCCTAGTGTGAAAGATTTGGAAGCACAAATGAGAAAAGTGGATTTGCGTCCGGAAAACGATATAATAAACGCAAATGCACACCCAGCAATTCACACAGAACAGAGAGACAAAGCTGTTACCAAGGATACCGAAGCTTTTAAAAGACTTCTGCAGCAATTGGGCTCCCAGAACATATCTCATCCAGGCACTGAGTCGTCGTATCCTATGAATGCAAATGTTTCAGTCGCTCGTAGCGGACAAAGCTCTAATACTCAAGACCGCCAGCAGTACATTATTCAAGTTCAGGAAAACCAAACAAAAGAAGATGAGCTACAACTATATCAGCAGCAGCGTTCCAAAAAAATTGATACTGCGCCACAAAGGCACATTGAAATGATTTCCCAAAATCAAATGCATCCCGTTTTGCCGCCGGGTATCCATGATTCAAACATATCTGGGCTCTTACCTCTGCAAGCACATAAACGCATGGAGATTCAACAATTGCTGCAAGGTATGTTATTTATAATTAACTATTACATCTGCTAGGATATACGCATTTTTCAATTAAATATTGTAAAAGGAAAATTTAATATGACTTGCATAAATAAAACAAATTTATTGTTGAATTTTAGGAGTGGTTCGAGGAGATATTTCAATTGAATTTTTAAATAAGGAACTGAATAATCCCAACACAACGCATCAGTCTAGGGAGGTTATTGCAGCAGTACTTCATGAATGTTCCAATTCCGGGCGAAATGCCGTACAACATTTACCGTATTCAAATGACATACATCCCCATAATCTTGTGAAAAATCATCAACTCTTTAACAAGAATATGGGCCCCGAAGGTGAGCTGTCTGAGTTTACTTTATAATTGTAAAATGAGCGTATGATACTGTAAAAATATGGAAATTATAAACATGCCTTAATGTATTTTAGATGTATTTACCCAAAACACTCCGAGCCAAGGCATAAACCAACACCAAAGGCATAGTAATTCGCCAACACCTTTGGCATTTACTCCAACATCAGTTTTAAGAAAGATGACTGCAGACAAAGAATCAACATCCGCGCTCAATAACAGTGCCAACAATCAGCAGTATCACCAATATCAATTATCCACGCACCATCCAAAACCGGCCGTACTCAATATGATGAACGAGTCACCGGTAATGTCTGCAATTAACCAACTGCAGCCTAGGATGATTTTGGGTGGAAATTATGCCATGCAGCATCAATTAAATGCCAACAGCCCGCAAATTTCTCCAAAATTACCGCCACAGATGACTCAATCGCGAAATCAGCAAAATAAATGGCCTCCCGGAAACATGCAAACAACACATGCATCCAAGTCTTTTGGTAATATGCCTGACATTACAACACAATCTATCTTTTTTATACGCACGTACTTATAAACTGACTTTTAAATTTATAGGTCGTCCGATTCTGAAAGGAACATTAAACTCCGGTCCCCAACAAATGCCTCCGCTAGCATTTTTATTAAATAATGACATGCAACAAATCCATCAGCAAAAACTGAAGTCCATGCAACCAACGGAAATAATAAACAATGAAATTATACACGTTGGACCGCCACCACATCAAAATGTTCCATATGCCGATGGAATCTCCCAGATGCAGCAACATCATTATATACAACAGCAACAGCAACGATCACAGCCGCCCAGACATCGATTATTGCATGGAGATATGCACCGACAAACTAATCTACCAATGCAGACACTTCCAATGGCAGGTAACTAGGAACAACTGTTTTTTTAAATAATATATTCATTCATTTGTTTTTGGACTACACCTAGGTGTCCCCGAAGGCTCCGAGTCGGCAAATTTAATAAAAAATAATAATCTCGGTCCCATGAACTATCACAGAGATGAACGTTTATCGCCTACAACAAATCAATTAGCCCAATGGTTTTCCCCAGAATTGCTTGCCAGAGCATCAGCTGGTAAATTGCCTCTTTTAAATATGAACCAGGCGCTCAGCTTGGAAGAATTCGAACGTAGCATGCAACATTCCTCAGCCACAGTGCTCAATTAAGACTAAGAATAAATCTACTTTAAAAGAGACTTAAATGAAACTAAATAAAATTAGTTGAAATGATTGCTGTATTATTAAATAAAAGTTTTTCTGTAGTTTCTTGAAAAGGATTTAAAGACCTGTTCATCTGTGCATAGTTGCAAGGCTTTAGTGTACACTCTAATAGTTTCGTAGAGAGCATTAAACACAGTTGAACTAAGAATAATAAAACTAATCGCTAATCGTAGATCGTATTGTAAAATAAAACAAACAATTCTTCTGTATATACTGCAACAAAAATTTAATAATAAAGTAAAACATTTTAAAATTGTTTAGTTTCCGGATACACTGTACCAAGTCTTAAAATCCTAATCTTTACATGCACTGCACGCGAACCATAAGATCTGAGAACCCGAATACATTTTTATTGGAGGCATTCCAGAATGCTGCAAATTATACTTTTGAATTTTAGATATCTAATAGCTGTAACGAAGGAAAAAATCATTGTAATAAGAAGTATTTGGACACAAGAAAATCTATTGAGCTAAGTACTTTTTGTTTTTATTTTTTCCGAACCCCTTGACGGATCCTTAAGTACTAAATATACTTAGTTACATTATCATTTAGTTATGAAAGTTGGTTCAAATAATGCGATTCGAATTTTTCCTTGGGAATAAATAAAGTGTTGATTATGAAACGCAGTTCAATTTAATACACAAGTACATATTTTGAACATTCATAACTAATTTGTCCGTGCATTTGTCTTATACTTCATTCAAATTGTGCTCTCCATATGTATTAGTTTAATCATGTTCATAGGTGGGATAATCTGCGACTAATCTTACGTAGTTAATTTAGGTAATGCTTTTATTAACATTGATATTCGGAAAAGTATTTGCAAAGAACTCAATAAAGGAGTTTCTCTAAAATTCTTTTAAAACAATTATATTATAATTTAAATCTCTTGATCTCATTTAACTTTAAATTGTTTTATCTCTGAAACTTTACATATTTTCTTTAGAATATGTTTGACATTCAACTTTCGGTTAAGATTCAAAACTGAAACTTATATTTTTAGTAATAGGCCAATGAACTTTATAAAGATGAAAGCTAAAAGCTTCGTGAAACTTTTTGGTAACAGAAGAGAGTTAAACTATTTGTTAAAAAACATGTACCGTTAAAATATTTTAATAAATTTTATCCGAATATCAAAGTCCATTTCAAAAGTTAATGATTGTCCTAAAGAACAAATTTTAAATAACAAACATTTCTTATGATGGCTTGCTTTTACATTTCGGAGCAGAGATTCCCAGATAGGCAAGTAAAATATTATAATTTGCTAATCCTTGAATAACATAAAATAAACACACATCATATTTTTAAAACACCTTTCAACTCGTTTACCGCCTTTAGAAAATATAATATGTTTGTTTTCTTTTGGCCTTACTAAGAGTTATAGATAAACTATCAGCACAGAAAGCACGACACTTAAGCAATAAACTTCTGTTGTTTAATTTAATTAATTTTAATTAAATTTAATTTTACAATTCGTCCGAACGAAAGACTTACGGCCACCTTTCAGTTGACTTAATTTAAAAAATCCTTATAACAATTTTCGTTTTTATGAAAGTTAACAACTTGATTTTTCGCAGACTACATTTTAAATTTAGTAAGCGTTCTGTGTTAAATTAAAGCAACTACTTATGTGAGAAACGCAAACATTTTAACAAAAACTGTCCGTCATACCTGCTCGTATTAAATAGTACTCTAGTATGTGGATAGTATGCTGATAGTTCTCATCGTATGTGGAGAGTACTCATCGTGTGTGTATAGTACTCATAGTATGTGGAGAGTACTCAAAGCACGAAGTGTCAATCTTGGGTGCACTTTGCGACTTATCTAATCGTTAATTCCAATGCAGGATGGGTCTTCAGCACCTAGTCGGCAATCGCACTTGTCGGATGTCGGAGCACCATTGACGCATTCTTCGTTCCTATGAATAACCGCCGTTTGATTTTGATCTAGCTCAGAGCACGGACTGTTTTGGCAATCGCTTTGAGGCTGTCGCTCAGACACAGCTTTAGCAGCAGGGACTATGCCTGCGTCTGCCGCATTCAATCCAATGGGTGTGCGACCATATCCGGAACTTGTAGGTACTCCCGGAGCTCCTCCAGTTGCGGCAGAGCGTCTGTACACTGTGCTATTCATTGTCAGCTTGCGCACATTCTTGTCAGGATGGAAAACCAATATATACACCTTCGGAGAGTAGAGACAGACCAGGGCCACGGATGCACTTAAGCTGATGGATATGCACAATGTAGTTATTTGGATCTAGGCAAGAATTATATTAAATTTATTAATTATTAACTAGCTTTAACTATTTTGATTCGTAGCTGTCGCTCTCGAGAGTTTCAACATGAAATAAGATTTGTTCGAAACTGATAAAGTTAATTGTTTCATTATCAAATGAATAAATGAATGAATCAAACAAGAGACTCTACTCGGGAGTACCCGACTAGGGATACCCTAAACCATCTTCTTCTACCAACACCAAATGCAGCTCGCGCTACGAGCTTGATTGCTTTATCAGTAAAACAAAATAAAGAAGTAAGAGGTTCTAGTCGGGAGCTCCAGACTAGGGGATACCCTGAACGCTCTAATTCCAACACCAAATAAATTAATAAAAAAAAGTTCCCTTGGCAGGACTTGAACTCGCAACTGACCGCATTTCTTGCTGTCGACTCTACACAATAGACACACCAGCAAAAAAAAAAAAAATAATACTTTTCCCGGTAGGGCTCGAACTCGCAAAATATTGCACCACCTGCTATGCCTCTACTCAGCAGCCACACCAACAATTAATTAGTTATGATAAAAAAAGGCACTAAAATAACATTACAAAAAAAAGATGCAATTACCATGCTATTAGAATGCGAAGCAGACGCGCTAAATGTGTGTGTGTACATGTATACAGAAATTCTTAAAGCTGCTGCCCCATTCAATTGCGCAGTTGCATATAACTTTGGTTTTTCTTAACCGATCTTTATGAAATTTTCTACAGCATATCTTATTGTACCATAGAATATTTGTGCATTCTGAAAAAGTCAATTCCATTTAAATTGTGGCTTAAATTGGTTGGCAATAAAAGTTGGGTTATTAACTTGATTTATAGCTCTGGGGTGGTAGCGGGGAGGTGGCGATAGGTATGAAATGAAAGATAATTGAAATATCTATAATATTCTACAAGCAACATATCATGTTTGGTGGCTCTAGCTCTTGTTATTTACCCGATTTGCCAAAAAAAAAAGCAGAGTAAGTTATCGATTATCGAAAACAAACTCGATCTGCGCAGGCCCTAGGAGCACCTACATCTAAAATTTCAAGTCTCTAGCTCTTATAGGTTCTGAGGTCCTTACGTTCATTCATACGGACGGACGGACAGACAGACGGACATGGCTAGATCGACTCGGCTATTGATGCTGATCAAGAATATATATACTTTATGGGTTCAGAGATGCTTCCTTCTGCCTGTTACATACATTTGGATTTTGCACAAATACAATATACCCTTATACCCATTTTTAATGGGTTCAGGGTATAATTAACAAAAATGCATACATGAGGCAAGCCAAAACACATTTTCTTGAATAACTTCTGTGTTTCGCAACCGATCTTCATGAAATTTTCAACAGTCGATCTTATTGTGTTATAGAATATTTGTATATTCTCAAAAAGTCAATTGTATTTAATTTGTGGATTAAATCGGTGGACAATTATTGGAGTTTTAACCTGATTTATAGCTATAAGATGGTAGTGGGTTGGTGGCGATAGCTATAAAATGAGAGATGCTTCGTGTATATATATTTAGGTATATACTATTCCAGAGGCCACATGTAAAGTTTGGTGACTCTACCTCTAAAAAGCTAAGGGATTTGCTAAAAAAAAACACGATTTCGATATCGATTTTGATCGGTTACTTGGAAACGGAACAAGTTGTCGATTATCGTTCTGCGCGGGGACCTATATACATTTAAAATTTTAAGTCTCTAGCTCTAATAATTTCTGAGATCCTTGCGTTCATACATAAGGAAGGACGGACGAACGGACAGACAGACAGACGCACATGGCTACATCGACGCGGCTATTGAAGCTGATCAAGAATATATATACCTTATGGGGTAGGAGATGCTTTCATCTTCCCTGTTCAATGGGTTCAGGGTATAACAATGAAAATTAAGCATTGTTAAAAGAATTTAGGGAAAGCCCAAATTTGTGGAGGTCACCTTTAAAAATAATAAATCAATTATTTAAGGAAACCAGTTAGCACAAGAGTTGGAGGTGGACATGGGCCGTGTTTTTCTTGGCCCTAATGTTAAGCTGATGTTTTTGTATTCAATAAATAAAATTCTTGAAAAACAAAAAATGGTTTCTAATAAGTTTAGGTAAATATTTATAGAGCTTACCTCGTAGGAGTTGCCAGTACCGAAATAAATTGGTACAAATGCCAGCCAAATGATGCAGGTTGTATACATTGTGAATCCGATAAATTTGGATTCGTTAAAATTTTCAGGTATTTTGCGGGTTTTTATAGCGTAAACCGTACAAATTGTAATGAGTATCATGTTGTACAGCTGAGAGAAAAGAAAGGACATGTCCTGTATCTTGCATTTCAAGATGACCTCGGTGCGGTCCGGGTAGTAAAATCGAGTTCCCGGTGGCTCCACAATCATCCAAATCATCGTAATCAAAACTTGGATCGCTAAACAATTAGTAAACATACGTACTTATTAAATATATTTGGGCTATAGGATCCGGATGATCTGTATTCAATACTCTAATTCTATCGCAATTACATATATTAAATGGGATTTCTGAATTTTTTTGAATATAAGTAAATTACACAAAAAATCCTTGTTGATATTGTGTTATTGTAAAGCAATAATTAAGAAGGTATTATAATATTGCCACGAAATATTTTCCTAATTTTATAAAATTATATTTATTAGATTAATTTTCTAGAAAGATGAGAATTTTTTTTTTTTAAACCGGGACATTTTCCAAATTTTAATTTAAATGGGATTTTTAATTTGTTTGAGTGTGAGTAAAATACAAAACAGTTTGGTTAATTTGTAAAAAGTTCAAATGATCCGCCCTCAGAAGGAGTTATAATTTTGCCCCACAATATTTCCCTAGATTTATTAAAATTTATTTAAGGATCATAAAAATTTCCTTTTAAAACAAGGACATTCTACGAAGTTAAATTGAAATAGGCTTTTTTACTTTTCTGACTGTAAGTAAATTATACAAAAAATCCTTGTCGATCTTGTGTCGATTGTGAAATTTTGTCTCCGATAATAGATAGCTCGTCCTGATTCCAAACAATCGATAAGAATCGATATTGAAATTCTTTTTTTTTTTTTTAAAAAAAACACTTAGGTTAAGAAAAATTATTTGATATTGGTTCCTATCAATTACTTCGAAATGGGGGAACTTGCTGGAGATTGGTCTCTCGGAGGATAACCGTTCAAAATTTGATGTTTCCAGGTTACGAGAGGCGAGGCGTTCAGGCAGACGGGCTGGAACGACTCGTCAAATTTGGGGCGAGCTGGGATTAACTTGAGCCACTAATCAAACAACATATAGAGCACTGGGAGTAAGCCAAAGCAGTTTCCTGCAGCGATGCTGTTTTATGAACCCGAACAAAAACGAAGGCGACTTTGGACCAGCCGCACAGAAAACGAGAGGTCCCATCGCCGTCCACTGATTGTCCAGTCTATATGTTGTTTGGATAGTGCTTGAGCCTATTTGTTCGATTGAAACGAACCAGTTCCATTATTTATTTGTTGTACGAGTGTCCAAAACAGGGTTGATTCGAAAACGAACTGTTATACACTCTAATATCTTGTTTGAATACGTACCGATCAAGGAGGTCGTGATCACCACCTGGGACTGGGGGCTGATGTATTTGAGGCGCTGCGCCGACTTCGATGCAGAGTGGAAGATGCGAGATATGCGATTGGTTTTCGTGAGCAGAGCACTGTAAATGATGGAAAAGCCGACGCCGATGCCGAACCTCTGCAGGACACAGGAGCCAATCGTCGGCTTCGCGATCAATGCAAATGTGTTGCAATAGCAGACGAGAATGCCAAAAAGTAGAGTATAGCTAAGCTCACGGCCCGATGCACGCACGAGCGGCGTATCGTGATTTCTGGCAAATAACACAATTACGATGATGGTCATCGTAATGCCGAATATTGCAATCGCCAAGGGAACGAGAGCAAAAAGCGAGTTCCAGCGCATGTACTGGATGTTGAGGGCAAAGCATGACAGCTTGTCCGGATACGGCCAGAGACCCGGGCCACAGTCTTTGCAGGTCAACTCATCGTAGACGTATTCGTAGGGCTCGCAGCTGTCGCAGATCCAGCAACACGTGTCCCCCTGTAAATAGAAAAGAGAGTCAGCAACTGGGGTCAGTATACTAAGATGAGTTTTACTACCTGTTGTTTTTTTATCATCCCAGCTTCGCACGGCAAGGAGCATGCCGAGGTTGGCATCTCATTTTCTTTGTTCCACACAACTGTATCCAAGTTAATTTCCAGGTTATTGAACCATTTACCAATCACCTACAAATGTTCAAAAATACCATCAATTTTTAAATATATATATATATAATGATTCCACAATTTTATAAAATCATATTTAAGGATCTTTTTCTCTAAACATGAGAATTTCCTTTAAAAAAACCGGACATTTTATTTATTTAAATGGGATTTTTAACAATAATTTAACTAAATATGAACATTTCCTTTTAAAAACGATACCATTTTGTGGAGATAAATTAAATTTGAATGGGATTCATTAAATTAAATAATTATTTAATTATGTTGAGTGTAAGTAAACTACACAAAAATCCTTGTCGATTTTTATTTATTGTTAAGCAATAATAGAGTTTGGTTAATTTCTAAAAAGATCAAGTGATCCGCCCTCAGAAGTTATTAAAATAAGTTAATAACCCAACTTTTATTGCCAACCAATTTAAGCCACAATTTAAATGCAATGACTTTTTCAGAATACACAAATATTCTATGGCACAATAAGATATACTGTAGAAAATTTCATAAAGATCGGTTAAGAAAAACCAAAGTTATATGCAACTGCACAATTGGATGGGGCAGCATCTTTAAGAATTTCTCACACACACATTCATGAGCGACTGCTTCGCATTCTAACAGAATGGAAATTGCGAATTTTTTCTGTAATGCTATTTTAGTTCCTTTTTTTATCATATAATAACATAATTAATTGTTGGTGTGGCTGCTGAGTAGAGACATAGCAAGTGGTGCGGTCTGTCGCGAGTTCGAGCCCTGCCGGGGAAAGTATTTTTTTTTGCTGGTGTGGCTGTTCAGTAGAGTCGACAGCAAGTAATGCGGTCAGTTGCGAGTTCGAACCCTGCCGAGGAAACTTTTTTTATACCCTGAATCCATTAAAAATGGGTATAAGGGTACATTATATTTGTGCAAAATCAAAATGTATGTTACAGTCAGAAGGAAGTATCTCCGACCCCATAAAGTATAAATATTCTTGATCAGGATCAATATCCGAGTCGATCTAGCCATATCCGTCTGTCTGTCTGTCTGTCCGTCTGTCCGTATGTATGAACGCAAGGATCTCAGAACCTATAAGAGCTACAGACTGAAATTTTAGATGTAGGTGATCCTAGTGCCTGCGCAGATCGAATCGAGTTTGTTTCCGATAATCGATAACTTACTCCGTTTCCAAGCAATCGATAAAAATCGATATCGTTGTTTGGGCAATTTTGGTAAATAATAAGAGCTGGAGTCACCAAACTTGACATACAGCTTTGCAAATTCAGGGTATCCCCTAGTCGGGAGCTCCCGACAAGAACCTCTTATTTGTTTAATAATCTAATTACCTTATACTGGTATCCGGAGGAGTTGTCCAGACGTTGATAGTTCAAAATGTCATACCTCGCCAAGCCATCGCCCTGACGATCAAACTTCACCTCGCTGCCAGCCAAATCTTGGGAGAGTCAAAGGTTAATTCAAAATAGAAACAAGTGCATACAATGGGGATCTTTAACTTCTGTACTGTACCTAAAAATGACACATTCAACAGGTAATTGTTGTAGAAGTCCTTTCCATCATAGTTGGCCATATTGGGACATGCCTGCGAGTGGCTGTCCACGGGCTTGCGATACCACACGGACGCACTATGCCGATGCTGTGCGCCCGGGTTCTGATCATTCTGGGTGCACAGATCATTGTGCAAATTGTGTAGGGCATGGGCGAAGGCGTACACGGCGTCCACTACGAATTGAGTCTTCGATTCTTGCTCGTAACTGAATCAAAATAAACAAGTAAGAGGTTCTAGTCGGGAGCTCCCAACTAGGAGATACCCTGAACCCTCTTCTTCCAACATCAAATGCATATATATATTCTATTTTAGAAACTTGATCTTCCAATAGAGATTTTATATGAACCGGAATTCCGACTTAGTTTTTATACCCTGAACCCATTACAAATGGGTATAAGGGTATATTGTATTTGTGCGAAATCCAAATGTATGTAGCAGGCATAAGGAAGCATCTCCGAACCCATAAAGTATATATATTCTTGATCAGCATCAATAGCCGAGTCAATCTAGCCATGTCCGTCTGTCTGTCTGTCCGTCCGTCCGTCTGTCCGTCCGTATGTATGAACGCAAGGATCTCAGAACCTATAAGAGCTAGAGACTTGAAATTTTAGATGTATATGCTCCTAGTTCCCGCTCAGATCGAGTTTGTTTACGATAATCGATAACTTACTCCGTTTCCAAGCAATCGATAAAAATAGATATCGATATCCCGTTTTTTGGGAAATTTTAGTAAATAATGAGAGCTAGAGTCACCAAACTTGACACATAGCTTCTAAAATATAATATATATATACATTTGTTGTTGGAAGAAGAGGGTTCAGGGTATCCCCTAGTCGGGAGCTCCCGACGAGAACCTCTTACTTGTTTATATATATGAACCGAACCTTCAAACAAAGGGAGGGTTCAAGGTATCCCATAGTCGGGAGCTCCCGACTAGAACCTCTTACTTGTTCTATATGAAAAAATCAACGATTGTATAATTTGTAGAATATATGTATGACAAGCCAAGGTTTGAACGCAAGCTTGGGCTTGGTATATGACATGCTAAGGTTGGATCCCAATCCTGGGCTTAAGCCTGAAACTCCTTGCAGAGTCGTTAACCGAATTCCCGGTGCCCACGGATTAGAACTTACCCGACTTTTTCCGAGAGCCTGAAACTGTCATCGCAGGCGATTTTCGGCTTTTCTTTGGTTGGACTAGCTTCCTCTTCCTCTTGTTGTCCATTCTCCGATGCCGTGGATAGCACACAATTAAAGGTATCCTCCCAATACTCGGCGAACCAAGGATTTCGCTTGTTGTTGCTGGGCGTCAATTGCATCATATATCGGTCAAAGTCTTCGATTATCTCCGATTGCAGTTCAACCGTAATGGCGCCCTCGGCAATGTCCTCCAGCCCCTCCAGTAGCTTCTGCTGTTTGCCCCATCCATCGCTGGCCACCCAGTGGAAGGGATGTGAGAGATTGGCCCGTTTCGCCGCGAGAAGGATGCGACGCGCATCCTCGGCGCGCGTAAACAGGATAACTCCGCGAGCGTTTGGCTTCTTTTGGAGTTTCCCAATAATCGAATCAAAGACTTTGTCGTCGGCGGCACTTGGCACCTTTTCGGCGGCGGCAATGCAGACATGTCGCTCTGTGGCCTCCTTGTGGAAGGCCTCGATGCCATATTCACCATAGGAGCCTTCCGAATGAATTGTCGACACGTAGGACCAGTTGAAGTTCTTGATGATGTCCACCAAGGCGACAGACTGGAATGTATCCGGCGGCACGGTGCGTGCGAATAGATCAAAGCGCGTCTTGTCCGAGAGAGTCTTTGCCGTAGATGCCGGTGAAATTTGCGGTATGTGAAAGAGGCGCAAGAGATTCGCGACCTGCAGCGATACGGAACTGTACGAGCCGCCAATTACACCAAAGACCGGACCGGATGTCGCATTTTTCCTCAACTGCGGAACGGATGCATCGGAGCACTCGAACACGGACGTGTCCAGGTTGTTCAGCGAGGCGCGCACAAACTGGAGAGACTGGTTCAGAGCGTAGGTATCCCGAGAGCACGTGTCCAGTATGTGCACGCCTATCGTTATTCCCGGCAATATGTTTGTGTCGTTGTTAACACGGTCGATAGCATAAAGCATGGCTTCCAGTCGCTGAACACCCCGGTTGTAGACCTTGGGTCCGCAGGGCGGTGCACCTTCGCCCTTCTCGTGAACGGGAAAAAGTCCACCGAGTATTATGTCACCCGGCAAGGACACGGACACCGTGTCGTGTGCCTGCGACGATCCTGCGCCTGCCAATTGTGGCAAGAAGCTCCAGCAGGTGGCCAACAGGACCACAAGGATAACTGGATAACTGTTATCTGGATTTCTCTTAAACATTTCCCACATATTAGTTAATTCAATAATTTAGCTCAAGGTCTACGAATCATTTAATAGACATATTCATATGGCTTTCGATTTCTCGATTGCAATGCTCTTTAGCTCGTGATACAGAAGCGCCCACGCCCATTGTCCTTCCCAAACATCTGAAACAAAAGGCAATAAACATTATATTCTAGCTCAAATTTTAGATATGGTTTTTTCCCAGTCGCTGCTCTTGGAAAATTTGAATCTACCTCTACTACATTAAAGTCGAGTTTACCACCCAATCGGATCATTATCAAAGATCGTTACGAAATGCATGTGACACATGTTTCACACTTTTCGAAAATCCACCCTTCTTGGATGCATAAATGCGGATCACAGGTTGAATGTGCGATATTTCGGGTGTAGGCTCATTCGCAATGATTCAATAGAAAATTCATTCGAGGCATGTCTTAAAGTTTGCTCAATGAAAATGCGGGACAACAATTTTTTGGTGAAAGTCTTATGTTTCGTTCGTTTCGATCGGTCTTAAGTTCACTCATAATTCACAATTTGGCAATTTCACCCGCAACTGTGGAAAGTTTGCGAAAAACAATTGCATGAAGTTTTTTTGTCCGTCAGTACAGAAAACTTTATTTAAATTCGTTTGAAACGGGCAAGGACGTGCAATAACCGTTAGTCAACTTATATTTAACATAGGTATTTGAAAATAAGTTTGAAGTTCATGGAATTGAGGGTCACGGTCACAAGTTGGAATTAACTTTTCCCTCCGCAAAGTAAACCTTCAATAACCCGAATTGTCAATCCACGATACAAATTTGATAAAAAAATTGCATACAAATAATTTCCGATAAATTTCCACAGTTGCGGGCGGAATTTTCAAAACCTTTCATTTTTAAAATATGCATTAAATCGAGTGTAAAATACTTAAAACTTCGCCCAAAAAACCTTTGCGCTCCGTTTTTCAAATAGTGTCAAACACGCCCTAAAAGAATTTTCATAAAGAAAAGTGTGGAAGCGCAAAACTTCAGTTCACTAACCATTTATAATTATGACTTTAAGTGCAAATAATAATATTATTAAAAAAAACAAGTAAGAGGTTCTAGTCGGGAGCTCCCGACTAGGGGATACCCTGAACCCTCTTCTTCCAACATCAAATGCATATATATATTCTATTTTAGATGGTATATGTCAACTTTGGTGACTCTAGCTCTTATTATTTACCAAAATTGCCCAAAAACAGGATATCGATATCGATTTTTATCGATTGCTTGGAAACGGAGTAAGCTATCGATTATCGGAAACAAACTCAATCAGCTGGAGCTAGGAGCACCTACATCTCAAATTTCAAGTCTCTAGCTCTTATAGATTCTATATACTTTATGGGGTCGGAGATGCTTCCTTCTGCCTGTTACATACATTTGGCTTTCGCACAAATACAATATACCCTTATACCCATTTTTAATGGGTTCAGGGTATAAAAAAATTATCCTTTCCCTTAGTCGGGATGTTTTTATACCCTGAACCCATTAAAAATGGGTATAAAGGTATATTGTATTTGTGCAAAATCCAAATGTATGCAGAAGGAAGCATCTGTCTGTCTGTCTGTCCGTCTGTCCGTCCGTCTGTCCGTCCGTCTGTCCTTATGTATGAACGCAAGGATCTCAGAACCTATAAGAGAGAGACTTGAAATTTAGATGTAGGTGCTCCTAGTACCTGCGCAGATCGAGTTTGTTTCCGATAATCGGTAACTTACTCCGTTTCCAAGCAATCGATAAAAATCGATATCGATATCCTGTTTTTTGGGCAATTTTGGTAAATAATAAGAGCTAGAGTCACCAGACTTGACATATAGCTTCTAAAATAGAATATATATATGCATTTGATGTTGGAAGAAGAGGGTTCAGGGTATCCCCTAGTCGGGAGCTCCCGACTAGAACCTCTTACCTGATTTTTTTTTTCAAATAGAGCTCTTGCAAATGTGTACAAGAACCTATATCTATGCCGATTTTCTGCATAAATGGCCAACTGTTAAAAATGAATGCTTGTCGATTTGCGGAATTGGTTAAGTTAAGAGGATGCTAGTTTATTTACAGAATCTCTTAAGTTAAGAGAGGTTTGGCAAAAGAAAGAGAATACCAGATGGGGATGCTTTTCGTGGCAAACACAAAAGTTTTTCAAAGCTTGCTCACGCACACGGTCCCGAATATTGTGTGTGTGTGTGTGTGTGTGTGTGTGTGTGTGTGTGTGTGTGTGTGTGTGTGTGTGTGTGTGTGTGTGTGTATGTGTGTGTGTGCTTCACAAGTAACAATGGTGACCCAGAAAAAGCTTCGATGCAAGAACTTTACCAGAAGTACCAAGGAAGAATGGTCCTACTGATGATGGCAATGCGCACAGAAGCAAAAGCAGCCGCAGCAGCAGCAGCAGACATCAAATACAGCAACACCTACATTTTGAAAACATATACACATACACTTCTTGCATATGTATATGTGGCGGAATTCTATTAATTGAATCGGGTCAGGTCAAGGGATTGAAAGAAGAAAAAAAAACTTATATGTATGTATGTATGTAGGTACAAAAGACTTGTTCGTGCTTTAAGCGTAGTGAACATTCAACTACTTCTTATATGCAATCTATGCCCCCATGCCCCCCTCTCTCTCTTCTCTTCTCCTCTTTACAGCTGCTGGTCCTTATTTATTGTGACGGTTCTGTTACTGTGTGGGTGTTAAGGTACACATACACATACAAATACAAATGTATGTACGTGCGTAGAGTTTTGTACACTGACGTAAACCAAGCGCCAACATGAACACACTAAAGCGAACTTATATGTATTTGTATGTACGTACATATGTATTTATGCAAGTGCGGACTATATTCGAAATATCTGTACTATTCGTAAATTCGTCATGAGGGTTAAAAAAGTGTACTTACCGTTATTTGGCTGATTTTTATTATTTAATAAATATTTCTATATATAGTTAGATATGTGCGAATATAACACATGTAGTTAAATTGTTTAAAGTATCTGGTTGCACTCACGTTACTTTTTTTCCGTTAACACTTATTTTAGCCACAAGCAAACAGCGCACACACATCTGTCCATAGCATTAACAGTAGATAAACTGATTTCCTCATGATAAGCCCAAACAGTTCTTGTACCAGAAGCAGCAGCAGCAGCAGCAGTACCAGCAGCAGCAGCAGCAGCGACCACGGCAGCAACACAACAACAATGATAAGAGCTGTGCCAGCAGCAGCAGCATCATGGCTAAGAACAACCGTATCAGAAGCACCAACAACCAGCAGCAGCGGCGACAGCGGCAGCGGCGACAGCGGCAGCAGCAGCAACAACACCCACAGCAGTCATCTAACTGTTGTCCATCTCTCCTTGAATACTCAGTTTCGCCACTGCAGCAGCCGCAATGGATATCAAAGAGCAAATTTCAACATAAAAACTAGCAGCTAAAACCGAAAAAAGAACAACAAAAAAATGTGTCCGTCAGTAGGTTCGTCCTGCAGCATGAGAGTTAAGAGCGGGAAAAAGCTCTCTAAAGCTTTAGCCTATCTCTTTGAGTTTCTCGAAGTTTGCAAGAGAAGTGCCATGGCAAGGAAATATGCTTAATTGTTGCTTTATCATTGTGTACAGATATATCTAATTGCTTGCAAATACTCACACGTAATATTTATTTATTAACTAATGGGTAGTACCCGGCCTTGCCCGTGGCTAGTGTTTTTCTACAAATATTAGATATTAGTTTTTAACCCAGTTTCCTACCATGGAATTTTAATTTAATTTAATTTTACTGAATCTGCCCGTAGGGTGGTGAAGTCCACTTCTATTCGAAAATATATTTAAATTCCATACACTAAAGATCTTTTTTTATACCCTGAACCCATCAAAAATGGGTATAAGGGTATATTGCATTTGTGCAAAATCCAAATGTATGTAACAGGCAGAATGAAGCATCTCCGACCCCATAAAGTATATATATTCTTGATCAGCATCAATAGCCGAGTCGATATAGCCATGTCCGTCTGTCTGTCTGTCCGTCCGTCCGAATGTATGAACGCAAGGATCTCAGAACCTATAAGAGCTAGAGACTTGAAATGTTCGATGTAGGTGCTCCTAGTTCCTGCGCAGATCGAGTTTGTTTCCGATTATCGATAACTTACTCCGTTTCCAAGCAATCGATAAAAATCGATATCGGTATCCTGTTTTTTGGGCAATTTTGGTAAATAATAAGAGCTAGAGTCACCAAACTTGACATAGCTTCTAAAATAGAATATATACATATATGCATTTGATGTTGGAAGAAGAGGGTTCAGGGTATCCCCTAATCGGGTGCTCCTGACTAGAACCTCTTACTGGTTTAAATATGTTTTATTTGTGTGCTGGAATCTATCAGTGCCTTTTGATCTCTACCAAGCGAATAACTATTAATGTAATATAGTTACTATTTTGTAACTTATATGGTATTTACAGGGATGTTATTTACAATGATGAGAATGTTCAAATAATACGCCTTGTAGGTAGGTCGTCGGGGTGTAGCCTTCGGAGGCGTCTCACTCTGATGGGGTCACCCAGGAGCCTGGCGTCCGCGTTCGGGTGTTGCAGCAGCTTGTCGGCGTATCGACTGCTGAAAAAGTTAAGTTGGTCTCCGATCTTTGTTAGGCGGGGATCGCGTTCTATGCCGTCGGTTGTCACGTCCCATGGCAGGCCGGCAACGTTGCGTGCTGCCTTGGCTTGGACAACCCGTATGCGCTGCAGCTGGTGTGCTGACGACGTGCTCCAAACTCGGATGGCATATATCCAGATAGGCGTTATCATCGATTTCACAAGCAGTGCCTTCGTGATACATGGAGCTTGCTTTGAGGTTTTAGTCGCCAGTTGAGCTTTTGAAGTCTTCTCAAGCATTTTATGCTCATTGCTGCGATGTGCGATCCCCATATGAGCTGGTGTGCTCAATGGTTCCTCCATCGAACCGAAGCCCCGGGCAACTGTCTGGGCGCAGCATGAATGTGCCACAAGCGGACTTGGCGATGTTCCAATTAGCTGTCCAAGTTTCGATCGCAGCCAGTTTTGCACTGTATTTGTTGCAGCTTGCAGGTGGTCGTGCGAAGCTAGGAAGGCGGTATCATCCGCGCACGTTGCCACCAGCAGTCTCGCGGGCCTGAAGGCTGCACTGTTTTGTCCTTGTATGGGGAGGTCCACCGTGTACAGCTAATCTATAAGTTGGAATCGAAACATACACTTTCGGTTATTTTTTCAAAAGAAAATAAATTTTAACAGAGATCTGTGAACACGATTTGAGGGAAACGGATAGTTAACTTTAACTAAACTAAATTTCCAAAATGGTGTAGGCCTTTGAAAGTAAGTTAAAGGCCGATCGGACAAATCCTGAAAGTGGGCCTCTACAACCTGTGACTATTTTCCATCCAGAAGGGTTGGATTTTTCTCAATTGAATTTTCGAGAAGATCGTGTCAAAGCTTTAAAATTCGCCCGAAAAAATTTTCAATCCATCTATATCAATATCGACTCGGAAGTTTATACTGATTAAGAATATATATACATACCTTCTGAGGTCGAAGATGACTCGTTCTGACTGTTTTGCACAAACACAATGCATCCTTTTTATGCATTTTTATAAAAAGTTGAGCCCAACAAAATTTCATGCTCTCCTCCCCATTGAGTAATAAATAGAAAGAGATCAAAGTTCACTTTTAGGTTTATTTTTACCGTTTTAAAGTTCATGAATGGTGGTTCGGGTTGGGTTGCAAACGCAAAATCAAACATCAAAAATAAATCTCATTTACCATTGGAAGCAACAACAAATCAGCTGCAAAGCAACAACAGTGCGGACGAAACCCCATTTTGTTTTCGTCGTCTGTTCTGATCACTGAAAAGTTGATGGAAGATTTCAACGACATGGGAAACTCAGTGTAATGAAAAGGGACAAATAATGCCCTGTGTTTGTTGCCTCTTTCTCTGTCGTTGCTACAAGTTGCTACACGACTTGGGTTCTAATGTTGTTGTTGTAGAGCCGAGTCACGGTGCAGGTAGGTAGAAAATTCGAATGCCAGTAGGTCTTGGCATTCAAATCAAAGGGTTACGCACACGGCTGGGTAACATCCCAAATTATGACGTCACATTTTATGGAATATTATTTCTTGTTATATTCTATTTATTTAGTATATATTTGAACCTTTTTACGTACATTTAACTTATTTATTAATAGGGTCTTTTGTAATAATTTATTTATTTAAAACTTTACTAATTTACTGTACTGCGATTGTTTTGCACACAAAAAGCCTTGGGCTGTGACATAACATGTGCTACAGAATATTGCAATCTTCTTAAATTCATATACATATATAAGTACTTCCCTTGGCTTGACAGACATATACATGCAGATTTTTTTTTAGCAAAATGTGTGAGATGAGACATACATACCGCATACATACATACATACATATATTTGGCGCGTCGAGGTTGTCATACCCTATTTTATAGAAATAGTAAATAATGTTTAAAGAAAAAAGGAACAAAACGATGTTATACCTACTTTTCGACCGATCGTTCCTATAGCAGATATATGATATAGTGGTCCGATCCGACAATGAAATATCTGACTTTTCATTATTAATTAATTATTATTAAATGTTTTACACATATGTATATATTTTTTTATACCCTGAGCCCATTAAAAATGGGTTTAAGGGTATATTGTATTTGTGCAAAATCCAAATGTATGTAACAGGCAGAAGGAAGCATCTTCGACCCCATAAAGTATATATATTCTTGATCAGCATCAATAGCCGAGTCGATCTAGCCATGCCAGTCCGTCCGTCCGTATGTATGAACGCAAGGATCTCTGAACCTATAAGAGCTAGAGACAAATTTTAGAAGTAGGTGCTCCTAGTGACTGCGCAGATCGAGTTTGTTTCCGATAATCGATAACTTACTCCGTTTCCAAGCAATCGATAAAAATCTATATCGATATCCTGTTTCTTGGGCAATTTTGGTAAATAATAAGAGCTAGAGTCACCAAACTTGACATATAGCTTCTAAAATAGAATATATATATGCATTTGATGTTGGAAGAAGAGGGTTCAGGGTATCCCCTAGTCGGGAGCTCCCGACTAGAACCTCTTACTTGTTTTTGTTTTTATATATGTACATACATTTTTTAGTGGAACATTTTATTCGATATTGAAATTTGCATAAAATTAAATGTAAATATTGGAAAAGCAATGTGAATACTAAATTTAATTAAATGCGTTTGATTATAATGATTTGTCACAATTAAATTTTAAATGCACAATTGGTAATAAATTGTGATTTGTATTTGATCAGCACAAATGAAATACATATTTAAATATGTTTAGGTTATTTATTTGTTGGCTGGCTCGAGGTCCGTGTTTGTTAAAACAAACAATGAAAACAATTTTATTTTAATTTTCTTCCGATATATTTCGGTTGCACATCGGCAAACCGTCTTCAGGGCACTAACACCAAGATACAAAAAACAATTAACAATTATAATACAATAAATTAAACATTATTTCGAACATTTTACATACATTATTTTACACGTCTGCGCTTTTTGACGTGGAGATTGTTACTGAGGTTGTTTGGCTGTTTAAGAGGTGTCTGTACAAGTGAGCGCAATTTTCTGTGTCTGTCTTGTAGTTTAGTCGTTTGTTGGTTGGTGTGTTAATTATGTGTAGCATTTCCAATGTGTGTCGCTTGTAATAGTGTTGTTCTTGTTGTAAGATTGTTGTTTCATCAAAATTTGGTGTGTGGTTGCTTTTTATACAATGGGTCATAAGTGCTGTTTTCTGTATATTATTTTGATGTCTTAGTTTGAAGTCCGATTTATGTTGACTAATCCTTGTTTTTAGCTTCGATTTTGTTGTACCTATGTAGACACTATTGCACTTGTTGTTGTTTTCCCCGCCACATGGTATTTGGTAAACGACGTTGCTTTTGTCGATCATCGGGATTTTCGACTTTATCTTGTTGAAGAATTTTTGTAATGTATTCGTCGGTTTGTGTGCTACTTTTATATCTTGTTTGTTATAACAGTCTGAGTTTGTGAGGCGTTCTGATAGTCGTGGTACATATATTAGTGATTTGTATATTTTAGCAGGTTCTGTTGGCTTTTTTCTTTCGATTTGTCGTCTTTTTAATAATGTTTTGATTATATTTGGGGGGAAGTCATTTTTGGTCAAGAGTTTTTTGATTTCATGTTCAATTTCTTTGTGGTATATTGTGTCCGATATTTTCATCATTCTATTCATACAGCCTAGTGCTGTATTGATTATCATACTCTTTGGGTGGTTTGAATTGAAGTTGAGTATTCGTCCGGAGGCTATGGGTTTCCTATACCACTTTATTTTGAGTGTGTTGTCCATTCTGCTTACAATAGAGTCTAAAAATGGTAATTTCCCGTCCTTTTCTAATTCCATTGTAAATTTTATCTGTTTGTGGAAGGAATTCAATTCTTTTAGAATATTTTCCACGTCTATTTTGTTCGTTATGGCAAAAAGGTCATCTACATATTTGGTCAAGAGTCTTGGTTTTATTTTTAATTTATCTGTAATCTTGTCCAACAGTTCCTCCATTAATATATCTGCGATTACTGGGGAAGCCGGTGATCCCATTGGCATTCCCTTAAGTTGTGTGTATATTTTGTCTTCGTATTTGAAATATCTGTTTTCCTGTATGCAAAATCTAACTATGTCCATAAATAGTTGTTTCGGTATATTCGTGTGCTCTTCTAATTTGGTCCATTTTTGTCTTATTGTGTCAAGTGCTAATTCTATTGGTATTCTGGGAAATAAGGATACTACGTCAAAAGATACTAATGTTTCCTCTTCTCTAATCTGGGAGTTGTTGACTCTGTCTTTAAAATCTACCGCGTTCTTGATGTTGTACCTAGAGTCCATTGTCAGATTTTTTAATATTTGTATTATATATTTGCACAGCCCGTAAGATGGAGATCCGATGGAAGAACATATTGGTCTCAGTGGTGTTCCTTCCTTGTGTATTTTTGGTAGTCCATATATCCTCGGAGGTACCGCTGTTGTTGTAGTCATCTTATTTCTTTCGTCCTTTGAAATAAGACCCATCTTGAATAATTGTGCTACGAAGGTGTTATTCTTTGTCTGTAGTCTTGATGTCGGATCCAGTCTCAGTGTTCTATACGCGCATAAGTCGTCTAAAATATTTGTCATTTTATTTTTATATTCATCCTCATCCATTGCTACGGTTTTGTTGCCCTTATCCGACGATAGAATTTTAATATTTATATTTTCTTTCAGTAATTTTCGTGTCTGTTCCACTGTGTCCAGTATTGCTCGATCCCTACTGTTTTGGTTGTTCTTGGTTTTATGCTCTTTGACTAACAAAGAGAATTTTGTGCGCGCCGACTCTTGTGTTTCCTTTTCTTTTATTGTTTGCACTAGCTCCTTACCGTCTGCGTTTAGGTTAGTTAAGCTTCGTTCCGATGTTTTACTGTACACATAAAATATAATAACATTACAAAACAAATAAAACAAGAACTAACTAAAGAAAAAAAATATAAATTGGATTCTGCGAAACTGCGTTTACATCCACCGTCTAACTAACTACTAATATTAATTTAGCTTATTTAAAAACTATATCCCATATATTTTTAGACGTTTCTGGGGGAGGCAGGCATCTCTCTTTATACCCGTGACGGGCTTTGGTTGATCCTAGGGACACTTGCACAACTGTGGGCTTTGTTTTTATCCACATTGCTTGCCTTGTCTCCAGCTGAAGAGACAGTTTCCGGGCCAGCGTTTGGGGCTACAAAAGGCAACGTTCGGCATATATGCATAAAGAATTGGCACTCCAAACTCTTGTGGAACTTCTTTTTCAGAGCCGGTCGAGAATCACAAAGATTTAATGTTATTTTTGTCATCTTCGTTATCGGAGACTATAAACGACATTATTTTTGTTGCGTGCTGTCAGCCAAAGGTGCACCGGCAAATACTTGTGCATGTGTTGGCGAGTCTCCGATGATTTGCAACACTGCTCACAACGTTGCACTGGAGCGAGCGCGGTCGAAAGGTTTGGCGCCAATTAAATTTACAGAGATATGATTTAAATATACATATACCAGGTATTTTAGTTTGATACTTGAAAATGAAGAGTATATTTATAAATATAAGCAAAAAGGCCATGACCAAAACTGCAGACCAACTTCTTTAAACTTTTTTTTTCTATACAACTAATTTAATTACATTTTCTTTGAGTTTTATGTTTTCTGTTTAGTTATAGTTATTATAAGGTATATAAATATATACTAGAAACAAACAGACGGACGGACAAATGGACATGACTACATCAACTCGGCTGTTGGTGCTGATCTGGAATATATTTACTGCTTTGCACATTTCGTGTCAAAATTAGAACAGCATTTTTAAGTGTATAATTTATTTATTTATTAATGGTCGGCAAAACAAGTGTCTTCCTCATTATTCAAATTAAATGCTAAGACCCTAGTAGAGAATCAATATGTAAGCGATAAGTTACTGAGAAATTTGGAGCCAGGCGCGCAGAACTTCATGCAGATCATTGTAGAGGCGGCTCCCAGGCTCCCGCACTGGTTAAGAAAGTTCGCAGTCACCAGAATTTTCCCATTCATGGGTTTGCCAAGAAGTTTTCAGATTATCACGTTTTTTATGTGCGTTAGGAACTCCTGCGGTAAGTTGATATTCATAATTGGTCACTATTTAAATCGATATCACCTCAATAATCTCATTAAAAAAATTATAGGCCGTTTGCTAAAAGATGTCGCAGTGAGGTATCGAAAAACAAATAGACAAAACAACTTTCTATCATTACGAGTAGTAATAGTTGGTCTACGAAACGAGGCGATAAGTGTGGGTAGACTTATCCAATCAGCATTGACTCTTGACTCTTCCTCCACCATAACGAAAGCTACTCGGATCGGATCGGGCAGAAAGCTGACGCAAGGATTAAGGACGTAATTCGGGGTGCGTCTAATGTAGCTGTAGCTTGATAATATTGTCCTCCTTGTGGGCCAATTGGCCTAGTAATGCAGCCCGACTCTCGCCCGAGCTCTCCTCTGTCGCCAGCTTGTACGACAACAGACAGATCTTGTCCTCTGGGCAAAGCTTGCAGTAGCCATGCATGATTTTGTCTTTAATTCGATGCACCTGCTATTTGACACCTGTTTTCAAGTCCTTAGGTCCTTCTTGGATTACATGGGTGACATCATGTTGTGTCAAAAAATTGTGAAGAGAAAAGGAGAATTTTATTTTTTTATACTTACTATCAATGAAATATAAATTAACATCATTTGCAAATACCAGCAGAAGCTGACAGAATACTGTTGAATAACAGAACGTTTGCTTAAGCCAATCATAGATCGTCTAGAAAAGGTTTCTATTTATAATATAGTATGATAGCAATTGTTTAATGTAATCGCAATATAATGCAACTAGAGGTTTATCCCTTCAAATGTAGGAGACCAACTCCTTTGAACCATCCCCTAATCCAGATCCGTAATAAGCGTCGAACTCTCCAGATTGTTCAGATCTGGCAAGATTGTTATTTTAATTATATTTTAAGTGAATTAGTTTAACAATAAACTAGAATCGCTAGGCGTCATTGTCCACTTTCCCCTAGTGCTGGTTGCTGTCATATTAATAATAGAAGATATATTCATATTGTTGTAAAAAACAACAAAAGTGTGACCCTCGGATTTTTATATTAAAAGCCATCTGATCTCGTTACAAGTATCAAGTACTTAAAGGTTACTAGTTACTAATGTCATCAAAACAAACACGCAGTTCATCGCCTACTATTAACAAAAGTTTCATTTTAGGCGTAACGATCGATAGTCGATATCATTAGTGTACTTTCTAGAAAGCTGAGTAATTTATAAGTGTGTGTTTAAAAAACATTAATGGGAATGGGAAAAATTGAAATTTTAAGACTGTTTACGAGAGCTGGGAGTTATGTGGTAAATAATAAAGAAATCATACAGGTTTTCTAATGTATTAAATGTGCGAAACCCTGCTAAAAATTATTATGTATATCTGTTTTTTTTGGTAAACTTCTAATTTAAGTTATTAGAGAATATTAATTTAATTTTTACTTGAAATAACCATCGCTGGTATTCGTCACTACTATTATTTTTTTGTTGCTGTCACAGTTGTCACTGTGACACCAATATAATACTATGGCACGTCACCATTACCCATACAACCTATCGATATATATCGCTACGAAGTGACCATTCCTAGGCAGCACATTGCATGTGGAATGAAATTGATAGAAAATTTGTTTTTGGAAATAAACATAAAGAAAGACAAGTATAACTTAGTTTGCTACTGTGCAAGTATACATTAAAAGTGCAAGAACTGTTTTTTCTATTGTATATAACTGCTTGATATACGCGTGACGAATGCTCCAGGTAAAACACGTTTGAGAACGAGAGAACGGACGTAAAGTAAATTACATGATGACATTTCTTACCACAATGCAATTAGTTGACGTTGCTTTCTTAATAATATTTAAATTTTAAATATTCTAATACCTACACCTATGCAGAATTTCATTATCTGCTAATCACTGTTTTAGCCCAGTGATTCTACCAATATGGCACACACCAATTTTGTACCATTCATTTTCTTTGTGTAAGAGTTTTGTTCAGTACGTCGCGCTGCCTGCCCTCCCTCGTTTCTCTCAGCCGCTCGCATGTGCGCCAACGTCGCAACGTCGGCAAATATGTAGGCGAAAAAGCATGATAAAAGACTTGCAAAAGTGAAGCGGGGCTTAAAAAACCTAACAAGCAAACTGCAAATGCCTTTGTAATGCAAATAAATAATAATATCAATCAATTTAAGGGCTACCGATTATTATTGTTTCAATATAAATACGTGTAAATATATATATATATATATATGTAAACATGTGTGTGTGTTTATATATATATGCATGTATGCGGGTTAAAACAGCCGACATCGGGAAAAATGAACTTGACAAATTTAAACAATATATATGTACATATAAACAATTGTCATTGGTTTTTTAATTTTTAAAAACTCCCATTTTGTACAAATGGTAAATTTGCAAGTGCAATATTTGAAAGTTGTTTATTTTTTTAAATCGTTTTTTACATATTTATAAATTTTAATTATTTTGAAAATTGTCTTATAATTTTTTTGATTGCAGGTCGAGTTCTTGTCCACAAATTACCGGAATTATTTCGCTGAATTTCTTTTTATATAATAGAACTACATTTTTGCAGGTAAGAGTATTTTCTCACACACACAAACGGAATAACCCTTATAATAATGGAGATAAAATCCACAGCAGCATAATCAAATGGTTGTGTGACAGGTTGCTAACGGGTCAAAAATCGTCCCGGAGATCGTCGAACAAAACGGAATTCGCATCCGTTTGACGATACAATTACCAAACGGATCGGTCCCTTCGTAATGCAACCAGCTGCTCCAACATTATCAACACAAGCCGATATTGCTAAAACCATGCAGCCTCAAAATATGGTATGTTGTGTTCCTTTACGCCTTATCAGTATACACAATATGCGTTAAGACACTTAAAACCGCAAAAAGCCCAGCGAATGTCTTCCGAACAAATTTGAGCCTAGAGATGTGTGGGGTAAAGAAAAGCTGTTCCATTTTGTCTGAGTACAAAGCTGTTTTTCCAACTAGACTTAATCTACCCATTTTGGGATATTTTTGAAGATAATTCTTTTCTTTCTAAATCCATTAAAGATGGGTACATAGTATGCAAATGTATTTAAATATACAGACAGGCAGCTAAGTCGATCTAGCCGTGTCCGTCGGTCTGTCCGTTTGTATGAGCGTTAATCTCAGAGCCTCACAGCTAGCTAGACGTAGCTCCTTTTATTTTCCGTGCAGATTGAAGTTGATAAATTGCAAATATTTCGAGGGTATTTAGAGCTACAGACGCGAAATTTGCCTCGTAACCTCGCTTTTTGGATACTTCCTCGTTCCCAAACATTTAAAAAAATCATTAGAAAGTTTATAGCCTTGCGCTTTGGTATTTCTACAAATTTGCCGTTCAGATCCTAAAGATTTGAGGGATACGCAAGCATTTCTCTAGTGTAGGGCTCAAAGAAGAACTCTGACTTTGTGACTTTTTAAATGCATTTTTATAATAGCTGGAGGCTTTTAATGTTTAATTTATTAGACCTTAAACAGTCACCATGACCTTTTTTTCCTCTGAAATGGGGATTTTAAATTTTAAATTGTTTTTATTTTTATTTTTTTAAATTAATTTATCGAGCTATATCAAAAACTACTTATCACAAAATAACCACTGACCGCAAGCTTTAGTTGGGCGAAGTTGTTTCTAAAAATTTGTATTCGGGATTTCGAATATCAAAATATTTGTAAAAAAAAAAGAAACACTTTTTTGTATTTGCAGTTTGCTTTTTCGTTAAATTTAATTGGTTAGTCATGAATATGTAATTGTTAAAAATCTTAATTTGCCTGCTGACAACGTTTTTGAGGGTTTCAAAAGTATTGTCTGTTGTGAAACCTTTTCTCTAAGATTTCCACATTGCTTTCAAAATTATTAAACGAGCTATTGCGAGATTCTGACTCCAAAAGATTGTCTTGTTTTAATTCGTGCAGCCCACTTCTTAATTTGATTTGTTTCTTTGTCGAGATGAATAGAGCGGTTTTTTGATTCACTAATAAAACTTGTTTGAGTTGAATATTATTTTTGTTTAGTTGCTCGGTTCGATTCGTTTCGTTCGATTTGGTTTCCATTTTTTGTTAAACATACATAAATGTGCATACGAATGGGGCGCAGTTGAAGTCTGTGCCCCAACAATATGAAACTTTTGCCATCTGTTGTAGATTTTGCCGACCAATAAAAAGACTAAAAAGTACGCTTCGCAAGTGCCGCCCACGAAGCAGCAGCAGCCCCTACCACAGCACAGCACGACCCAGCCGCAGTTTCAGATTAACAAGGCATATAACGTAGTTTCCATACTGAAAACAACTTCAACGACGAATGGTCAGCAGCAGCAGCAGTCGACACACATGAGCACACACACACACCAGCCGCAGTCACATCATTTGCAACAGACACAGCAGACACAGCAGCAGCAGCAGCAGAGTTATGCGAATGTGGTCAACCGAGCTAACATTGCGCCGGCACTCTCGGCTGGTGGAGCCCAGCTTGAGAGGTCGACGGTCATCTGCAGCGGCGGCAACCTTATGACCGTCAACAACTGTCAGTTGAATACAGCAGAGCTGAATGCATCTGCCATCTACAATCTAACTGGCCACAGGCCGCAATTGGCGGCCGCCAATAGTGGAGTCATAGAGCCCAATTGTCGTTTCGTGGGCAGCGTTTCGGCGGTATCGGATATGCCCAAAGGGCTAGCAAATGTTGCAACCACAAATAACAGCATACAACATACGACTGGTGGCGGCGGCGGAGCCAGCGGCAGCGGCAATAACAGCGGCAACGGCAGCAATCAGAGCCTCATCGCGTTGGCCAACTCGCATGGCATTCAACTTGGCGCCTCCAATGCACCATATGCTATGCACGAGAAGAGCCTGTTGGGCGTTGGGGTTAGCGTCGGTGTTGGTTGTATCGATAATAGGAAATACGACTATAAAAACAATAATCTGCTGTCGAACAGCAGCTTCCAACCAGCCCAAGAGGTAGGCCAAACACACCATCTTGCGAGCTCCACAAATATAATTACACACCTCTATATATAACTTGATCGACAGACGATTTTCTCAATTTCTGTAAGCTATTGTCAGAAAACTTTACATAGGGCCGGCCTTTTTTTGCAGGTCGGATCCGACAACTTTATTCTCGGTCCAAAAATTAAATTCTTCGATAGAAAGCTTATCAATATCGGACAACTGTATCTCTATAAACTCTATTCTATAGTACAAATCGGATGAATTGGGAAAATAATTGTTTTTCGAAATTTTTCCATCAACTCAGCAATGACAATTGTTCCTACAATCAAAAGCGACGCTTTTCAGAATTAACTGCAAATTCGTTTAAGTTGCTGTCTTATTTAAGCGTATTTAAAAGGATTCAAGTTATATTTTAGTGGGACTGGAAAAGTTAAAAGTAAAGACACAATAGTTTTCTTTATTCAAAATACCAAACAATTTTAAGTTGATTGGACTATTTCGGTTATAGCGTTGGATTCCTTTCAAAATTGTAAAATGTAAAATAACGCCCTTAAGAGAAAAAGCAGAATAGAAGTGTTATTTTAGTGATCCTCAAAATTGAATAGCTTTGCAAACATATTGCAATAAATAATGTAATATTATGCAATGTCATTTCCAAAGATCTATATGAAAAATCATTTGAGACGTGTTTTGCACTTTTCGCAGAATCCAAGCTTCCTCGGTGGAAAATGCGATTCAAAGACTTTTTGGGACACATTTTAAGTTTTGTCCTATATGCATCGTTATTTTTTATTTAAGAACTTAATAAATTCGTCTTTCAGTGATTTGGAAAATTCCGGCCACGCATGAAACGTTTTTGTTTAGATCTTTGTGGGAGCTCGCTGGAAGTGCATATACATGTCTTTATTCTTGATCAGGATTAAGAGAGCCGAGCTTAGCCATGCCATGTCCTACCTGTTGTCCGTATAAACGTATGCATCGCAAAGACTATGAATGTTAGATCGATAGACATATAAAAGTTAGAGACTTAAAGAGTAGATGTACTACCAAATAATTCTACTCCTTGGCCCCTAAAAACAATTGTTTTAAAATATTTGTTTTCTTGAAGTTTTCTTATCTGTTCGGTGGAGTTGTGGGCATCCCGAAAACAGTATTAAGAAATTGTGGCTAATCTTGTGATTCGAAACAAAACTTAAAATATGAGTTAATGAATATCTCGAAATGTGTTATATGACTCCAGAATGTGCTAAATGTTCTCGTAGAGTTCTGGGTAAACGTGGCACAAATGCAAAAAGTATTAAGATGTTGTATAAGGAGCGCAATTTATTTCTTGACAATGATATGATGCTAAGTTCTTCGTCTAATTTTATGATAGTGAGAATGTCTACTTTATGCAGCGCAAAATCTGGACTCGAGAGATCTGTAACGACGAAGCCATACAGAGCTGACCACCTAGGCTTGAGTTAATGTTCTAGCTTTTAGTCTTCAGCGCCTCTTTATTGCACATTTTGTTTGGTCCCATATTAATATATCCGGCGGAGTTGTAAATCAGCCAGGACTCGCTTTGTGTTTCGGCCCGTCATGCTAATAAAACCGAAATATGGCCAGATCTTAACACCGCAAAACTAAGAATTCGTGCACATGTTTGTTCAATGTACACTTAATGAAAGTTAACTTTCTTGTGCACCCAACTGAAAGACATGACACTTCCTCCGCCGTTAGCCTTGGCTCATCTGCTTAGTAATACTAAGTTCCCAAAAACCTGGATCCTTCGAAACGTATTCTCTAGCCAAGTTGAGTCTCCGCAGGGAACATTGCTTGCACTTCTTGAACTCGATGCAATGGGAGTCACAGATTTGTCGCTTGACATGCTTGTTGAAAATTGAATGGGGTCTTTTCAGCTTACTTTGCACCCGATTCTCAGGTTTAACGTTTTGCACTGTAGTCGCATTAAAGTTGACAACTTTTCTTTGAGTTTGACCGTTTCTCTATTACAAATGATGTGATATTTTGCACTTCAAATAATAAAATCAGAATAAAATTATTGTCAAGCCAATTCTTGAAGCAGAGCAAAGGTGTACCTTTAGATAACGTTGCACACAGAAGTGTAACTGCATAAAATAAGCTGTGATTCACAATTTTGATGTGATTAGTTCTGAGCACAGGGTACATATTTTAGACTTTAAATATGAGGGATGCTGGATAAAAAAGTATGCACTGCATAAATCTGCTGGCCAGATCTGACTAGCGAGATATAGCTGTCCAATTATATTCTATGAAGAATATAAACTAAGGATAACAAAAAAAAAAGGTTATAAAGGAAAGCCATTAAAATACCAGAATATCGGGGAATTGAATGCAATGTTAGATGCTACAATTTGAAAGAAATCGCTCTCAATAAAAATGCAATACAAATACAAAATGCAAAAAGCAAAGAATAAAAGTAAAGTTATAGAATATTTTACATACATCCCAAGTTAAAAAGAAATAGTTATTTAATTTAGTTGCACATTTTGAATGACTGTCTTATATTCGGGTCAAGGAATGTCTTAGGGATTAATTGTGAAAATTATATTTTCTTGGTCACTATTCAAGCACACAACTGGTCCCGAAATTGAGTCAAGCTTTGGTCGTGTTCAGTTGAGCGATTTTCCAAAGCAATTAAAAAGTAAAACTAAAAATGTTTTTGCTTTTGCAGTATGTGTCATCTGGAAACAACAGTTCTGGAAACAACCGTTCAAATCAACAAAGTGGAATTTTCCGTGGACCGCCGCCTACGTCAAATACGCCGCGCGGTGCCGGCGCAGGGGGAGCCCGCCACGTACACATGCCAACGATGTATCCAAACATGGTGTTGCAACAGTACCCACAATTTCCACAGCGACAACCAACTTATCAAACGCCTCATATACAATATGCGCCTGCTCCCATTTCCTACTATCCCTATCAATATCTTCCTCAGCTTCAGCAACAGCCGCCCCATTCGCGCAGCGGTGTTGGCGTTAATACTAGCGTTAACATTGGCAACACGATGCCCGGCCCCAACGGACCGCTGGCTGGTCCAGGGGCTTCTCCCTCCCAATTGCAGTTGCTAACCGGTGCCGTACAGCCGGGCGGTAACACAGTTATCGGTGTCAGTGGCACCGGGAGCGGGCAAGTGGGTGTGGGTGTTCCGCCAATGGTCAGCGTTATGCCAGCAAACGTGGCGCCACAGCCGGTTCAGGTGCCGACAACGAGTAGACGTCGACATCAGCACCGTTTACAGATCATCGATCCGGCAACACAAAAGAATATACTCGATGATCTGGATAAGGTAAGTCTCGATTGAAGTTTCGTCTCAATTCAGTTCAATAAAGTTAATTAATTGCATAGAGTAATGCAAGTACGGACATCGATAGCCAGGAGCCAGGGCCAGGGCCAACTGCGACAGCGGCAACGACAGCAGCCATCGTTCAGCCAGATGTCTCGATTTGCTTTTCCCAGCCAGATGCTGGTGGTATGTGTCTACCCAGTAGTGTGTTAGTCCCTGACCCAAGGGCCCACTACAAATTAGGTATTTAAACTAATCAACAATAATTTTCTTAAATCGATTTTTGCCCACACTTTGCTTCAGAACAAATTCTCGCTCAGCGCCAGGATATTATCATGGGACAGACCCCGGTGGTATCAGCGATGTCCGATGCTCCATCTGTAGAAATATTACCAACTTCCCAGAAGTACAAGAATAAAAAGTAAGTCACCTAAAAAAAATATAAATCGCGTTTATTATTAAAGAAAATGTTTTTCAGAATTCCTATAGTGTCTCCGAAAGATGGGTCTGAGTCGTCGTCTACGGTTTACTCATCTCGTAAGTCGTTTTTTGCTTCTCATTTCGATTACTGATTAAGCTAGGTTTGTTCGAAGTTTGGGCATCTAGTCAGATAAATGGGAGCAAAGCCTTATCTAAACTCAGATATCTCAATTTGCTATATTTCAATCATAATTGTTAAGCTTAATGCCTTTAACTTTTATCCCTTAATACCTTTGTGCTTACATTTGAAATATATAACCTTTTCGACCGGTACTATCTTGAACTCTACGCCTAATGTTATGTTTTGCATAGAACAATTCAAAAATTCTTTGATTCGCATTTCCCACCGACGAAGCATTGATTCTGCAAAAAGTGTAAAACACGTCGCAAATTACGTCTCATAACCATCTATGGATATGAATTTGAGCCCGAAATATTTGACCCCCATTTCGACCAACGAGGAATGCATTCTCCAAAAAGTGTGAATTTGAACAAAGACCTTTGAAAATGGGTTTAAGATCGATCCCTTGTTGAACAAAAAAGTTTCATAGGACCGTCCCTCGCAATTTTTCCCCAGACCCCGCATCTCTTTCACATAAGGTTACAACCTATCCAATCCAATCCAATCCAATCCAACCACCAATCAATCAGTGAGGCTGTCAAAACAAAGAGTCTTATATTAAACGATTGTTCAGTTGAGTCAAAATGGCCTTAATTACTTTGGCTTTGGTTCTTTTTTTGCTGGCCACAGTTATTAACGCAGTCGGATTATTTTCAATTTGTGTTCTTGTATATTCATATTACCCTTATTATAATTATGTTGTGAAATGCGTGACGCAGAGACATCTCCGACCCCATAAAGTATATATATTCTTGATCAGTATCAACAGCCGAGTCGATATAGCCATGTCCGTCTGTCTGTTTCTATGCGAACTAGTCTCTCAGTTTTAAAGCTATCGTCATTAAACCTTGCAAAAGTCTCTCTTTCTGTTGTACGCAGTTCATATATCGGAACCAACTGGATCGGACCATTATATCATATAGCTGCCTTCGGAACGATCGGTCGAAAAGTAGAAAACTTTTTTGTTTATCAAGATACCTTGAACAAACTTGGCATTTATTAGTTTTACTATGCTCCCCATATATGTATATATGCAAAATCTTATTAATATCATATAGCTGCCATAATAAAGATCGGTCTAAAATTAAGTTGTATTAAAAACTTTTCCCCTGTTTCCCCCCTATTTCCGATATGGTTTGATACGAAAAGGTTTCGTTTGCAAGGGTATTAAATCTTCGGCGTGCCGAAGATAGCACTTCCTTCTCGTTATAGCCTGAACCCATTAAAAATGGGTATAAGGGTGTGCAAAATCCAAATGTATGTAACAGGCAGAAGGAAGCATCTCCGACCCCATAAAGTATATATATTCTTGATCAGCACCAATAGCCGAGTCGATATAGCCATGTCCGTCTGTCTGTCCGTCCGTCCGTCCGCCCGTCCGTCCGTATGTATGAACGCAAGGATCTCAGAACCTATAAGAGCAATCGATAAAAATCGATATCGATATCCTGTTTATTGGGCAATTTTGGTAAATAATAAGAGCTAAAATCACCAAACTTTACATAGCTTCTAAAATAGAATATATATATGCATTTGATGTTGGAAGAAGAGGGTTCAGGGTATCCCCTAGTCGGGAGCTCCCGACTAGAACCTCTTACTTGTTAAAATTTGTAGGACTTCAAATGGCATCCTGAAGTGTGTGTAGACTAATTGCTTTTAGATAATAAACGCATATGCCTTTGAGCTAATGTAATTAAATACTAACTAAGACATATATAAATGTATTTTATTCCCTGTACATGTTACTCTATAAATATATAGGCTTTATAAGCATCAAGAGCCTTGTCGATCTGGCCAACTACAACACTTGGATTATAAATTCTAGTATACCATTAAAAGATCAAGTTTTTATATTTCTTGTATTTCCTTAACTGTATACTATTTAATATTATTTTCATATAGTCTGTAAATATAAGTAAGTGTAGGAATGTATTCTGGTGAGCATAGCACAGGGTATCTTTGCCGAAATCGTAATTTGTCAGTTTACTATGCTCACTATATCTCTATATATAAAATTGTTTGTCCTGACTGACTGACTGACTGACTGACTGATTGGTGATCAACGCACAGCACAAACCGTAAGAGCTAGGAAGCTGAAATGTTCACTGTAGTTACCTTATGTGATGAAGGTGCACGTTAAGAAGGGGTTTTAAGAAATTCCACCCGCAAGTATGGAAAAATCGCGAAAAACGTTTGTATGAAACTTTTTTGTTTACCATCCGATCGGCCTCAAACTCAATTTCAAAGTTCTTTGTTCAAATTAATTTGAGTGGTGTTTCACACTTTTCCAAAAATGTATTCCTCCTTGGTGGAAATGGGGGTCAAAGATTTGGTGGGTGACGTTTCGCGCTCAAATTCATTTTCAAAGCTCTATATGAAAAATCATTACAGACGTGTTTCACATTTTTCGCAAAATCTAAACTCCTTCGGTAGAAATGCGATTCAAAGATTTTTTGGGCGAAGTTTTAAGTGGTGTCCGATTTGCTTCAAACTTATTTTTAAAGCTACATAAGAACTTAATGAATACGTGTTTCAGCAATTTGGAAAATTCCACCCACAACTGTGGTTAATTACCGAAAAACGTTGGTATGAAACCTTTTTTGTTAACCATCCGATCGGCCTCAAACTTATTTTCAAAGAACATTGCTAAAATTCATTAGAGGGGTGTTTCACACTTTTCGAAAAATCCATTCCTTCTTGGTGGAAATGGGAGTCAAAGATTTGGTGGGTGGCCTTTTGCCTTCAAATTCATTTGCATGGATCTACATAAAAAATCATTTGAGACGTTGTTTCACATTTTTTGGAAAATCTAAGCTCCTTCGGTGGAAAGTGCATTTTAAAGTAATTTTATTTTATTTTCAAAGCTCTATATAAGAATATAATGAATACGTGTTTCAGCGATTTGGGAAATTCCAGTCGAAACACTGGTAAAATTACGGAAAACGTTTGTATGAGAGTAGATTGTTTACTGTCTTCACATTTTTTGGAAAATCTAAGCTCCTTCGGTGGAAAGTACATTTTAAAGTAATTTTATTTTATTTTCAAAGCTCTATATAAGAATATAATGAATACGTGTTTCAGCGATTTGGGAAATTCCAGTCGAAACACTGGTAAAATTACGGATAACGTTTGTATGAGAGTAGATTGTTTACTGTCCGCTCAGTTTCATCAAAATCATTTTCAAAGCTATTCGAGAACATCGATTTTATAACATAAGTGCCACGAGCAAGACCGGGCTATACCCTCTAGAATATATATATACATATGTATATATGTAAAGTAAGATCTTTCCAAAATCGGACCAATGTATCACTATGATGCCATTGGAATGATCCATCAAAATTGAAGTTTTTGTGTTTGACGATATCTGAACCCAGCTTGACATTTACCACACATGTGAGCCAAATCCTGTCAACATTATATATTTTATAGCTCTATTGGAATAGTCGGTCCATAAGTAATTTTTTGTACGAAAAAATGTTTGCTTCTTCATAATATTCAAGCTTTCCAATATTTCTCCCATAGCTGCACAGTCCTAAGCCTGCTGAATATAAGGCTATTTAATCTTGGGAATTAATCTTGTTAGAAAGGGTATTAAAAAGTATGCAGTAGCTGAGCTCGTCTGTCAGTACGTCTATATATTTGCGTTGAATGCGTCACCGTGAAATCGATAACAGTCGAATTTCAGATTAATAGAAATAGCAATATCAAATTTTGTGTATAGGTTCTTATATAGTAACACATGTCCGAGACTTCTTTTTATTGAATATGCAGACATTATTAAGCTTTATAACACACCAAAAGCAGCTAAAATGCATTTCGCCTTGTATGGGGCTCAATAGAGAAGGAGCACAGTCGCTAAACAAAGATTTAAAGGGTATTTAAAGTTCGCATACATATTACGGCATCTCGGCAGTTTGTTAATTAAGATATTCCCCAATCGGGCACTTATAACTGTTCTCGTAGGCGTGCACTCTTGCGTGGGCAATTTGAAATTCTTTAATAATATTAGTCTGGGAATTTATTTAAGGGGCTGAAAGTCCATTGTTATTGCAAATGCAAACGTTTAAAAAGTACTGTTGTTGTTTTGTGCATAGGTGAGTCGTTATTTCCTGTCACACAAACTGACGTGCCTATCTATAAATACATACATATCTACATATATATGCATGTATGTCTTATAGATGAATAGATGTGGATATTCCTTTAGTCAATTTGTCCACGTGCGTCGTCGTCTACTTTAACAGCAAGAAGTATATAGAATATTGACCGCACTCACTCTCGTCGGCTTTTATTTCGCTCTCTCTTTTAGTCCGCTTTCTTCTTGGATTTTGGTCCGTCTCTTGTCTCTCAATCTCAAGAATGTGAGTCAATCACATTAAAGTATTCCAACTTGATCAGCACCCGCACACACAAACATGTTCTTTGGCCTGAATTGTGTTTTTGTGCGCGTGCGTCTGTATTGCGTGAACATATATGCGTGTGTGTGTGTATATATGCGAGAGTGTCTGCATGAATTTTTACTTTTGCTTTTGCTACTCGTAACACGTTATAAGCTTGTTTGCCGCTTTTTGTTTGCTGCTGGCGCTGGCGCTAGCTGCTGCTTGCTCGTATTTCTGTTTGCCTCGCCCGCCTGTGCAGCGAGTTCATTTGCGGTGGCTGCTTGCTGCTTGAACCGCGGCCGGTCTCAACTAGCTGATCGATGCGATCATTTGGGTGTGTTAGTGCGATTCGATATCATCTGTGTGTCTATCTATAGCGCTAGGCAACAACGCGACATTGGTGGGACACGCACACAACTCTCAATAAGAAAAGAATTAACAAATAAATAAACTAAAACATATGAACATAGGTATTTACGTATTCGGAAAACGTGTGCATAGTTCTCAAGGAATACACCATATTGGTTACATATGTATATATTATCCAGTATCAATATTATAATACAGTTATCTTGACTTAATAAAAAGAATACCAAATTCGGATGTTAATTATCTTAATGCTTGACATCTTTACTCCATCTCGACTGTGATAATTACAATGTAATGGATAGAAAATATAACTCAACAAACAACTGGTATGTCTGATCTGATATGTAGGTATATTTATACGTATACCTTCACGGGTGATATCATCTAATTTGACATTATCTCTACGTTGTATAAGTTAAATTCCTTAATATATTTAAAATTGGTAGGTAATAAATAGGTAAACCTAATTTTGTTTTTGTTAGGATAATGCGACTTAGTAATTATACTCACATCGACTGAAAATTCTGTAGAATATATAGTTGGCTTTTCTTTGAATTTCCAAAATCCCACACATTTTCTATACCCTTGCGAAAGGTATTACAGTTTTGTCGTGAGATGTGTAACGCATAGAAAGACATCTCCGACCCCATAAAGTATATATATTCTTAATCAGTATCAACAGCCGAGTCGATATAGCTATGTCCGTCTGTTTGTTTCTATGGGAACTAGTCTCTCAGTTTTTAAGCTATCGTCATGAAACTTTGCAGAAGGCCTTCTTTCTGTTGTACGCAGTACATATGTATGTCGGAAACAGCTGGATCAGACCAATATATCATATAGCCGCCATAGGAAAGATCAGTCGATAATTAAGTTGTATAGAAAACATTATTGTGTTTCACGATAACTTGACTAAACTCAGCATTTATTAGTTTTCCTATGCTCCCCATATATAGGCAAAATTTTATAAATATCGGTCCACTATATCATATAGCTGCCATAGGAACAATAGGTCGAAAAGTAGGTTCTTGTATGAACAACTTTTTTGTTTATCAAGATATCTTGGTTTAGCTCGGTATTTATATGATATGCAAATTGTTATTTATATCGGGCATATAGAAGCTTATAGCTGACATAGGAACAATCGGTGGAAAAGTAGGTTCTGGTATGAAAAACTTTTTTGTTTATCAATTTTTGTTTAACTATTTTTCCCGTGCTTTTAGATTCGAGCAGAGCACTATGAACATTATGAAAAGGTTGGGTCTTCAAGGGAATTGAATCTTCGGCATGCCAAAGTGAACACCTTTTAAATATTTACCATAAGCAAATCAAGTTTAATTTGGATTACCGATCTTGCAACAGAGATTTTTTTTTTTTAACAGACGTAATTATCTGATCTTTAAAACTAAATTCAGTAGTTAGTACTTTTTAATATAACTCATGTAAAAATGATCAGATTTTGGTGTTCTTAGCTAATCTTGTCAATTGGGGTCTTCTCTACATTTACAACATTCGTAAATAGTTCAGTTCTGAAAAACATAATGACAGAAAGCCTCCAAAGAGGAAACGGTTAAGAATATTATGTTCCGACCAAATTTGATCAATGAATAACTATAGTGTTAGGGATAATCGCTTATCAAATATTTAAACTTACGTTCATTCGTAGCATATATGTAATTTAGAATCGAAGAGTCTAAAAATGTTAAAATTTGATTGTATTGTTTATATTGGATTATTTATTTCAGCCTGTTTTGATACTCCAACGAAATTAGGCCCAAGGACTACGGTCGGCGACATTCAAAAGAAGCTCCACGAAATGCATCAGGAAGTGCTTGAAAAAAGTAATCGATACTGGACGCAAAAGGGAAAAGAAACTACGGAGAATATCGATACAGTCGTTAATGAGACGCTTTCGCAAAGCGCATTGCCTGCCGAGCAATATCAGGAGGAAAGTGCGACAGTGGACTCCACAGGATCGATCACCCAAGATTGTCAAGAGCCAATTTCGATGGTCGACCCAGGACACGAGCCCGTGGCTGACGCCGCGCCGAAGTCGTCAGAAATACCTTCGGAAATTCCCGCAGCTACAACACATATTAAAGACAGCTTAGGACAAGCTGCATTTGGCAGCAGTGAAACAAGTTTTAATGTTCATATAAACACACCAAAGTCGGAAGAAGTAGCTGCCGACCCTTCCACTACGGCCAGTGAATCAACCCCGATGCCTGTATCATCCGCTGATCCAAAAACAGCTGCAACGGATCCTATTTTAAGCGAACAAGTTGATAAGCAGCCCCCGAGCGTTAGCCAACCGTCAATTCGCAAAGATGCACTCCCGACAACCAAGATTTCGAATCTTCATGAAAGCGATCCAAAAACAGCTGCAAAAACGGAGCCTATTTCAAGCGAAAAAGATGCTGAGCCTTCGACTCGGCCATCAAGCACAGATGAAATCCCAACCGATGAGACTGATCGTGCGAAAATGCTACTCGTTGAAGAGACTTGCGTATCGACAACAACAACAACGGCAAAAGCAACAATTAAGGAAATCGCAAATGTTGAAATCGAAAGCGCAACCGAAGAATCGACGACTAGCACCACAGTGGCGGACGGTCCAAATGCGGTGCCAGAGAAAGTGGGTGGTGAGCAGGAACAAGTCGCAACAGCGACGGCGACAGAGTCGGGAATTTCCTCGTTAATTAACTATAACGAAGGTCAATGGTCGCCGAATAATCCAGGCGGAAAAAAACAGTACGATCGTGAGCAACTGCTGCAGCTGCGCGAGGCAAAGGCCTCGCGTGTACAGCCCGAGGTGAAGAATGTATCCATTCTGCCACATCCGAACCTAATGCCATTGTTTATGCGAAACAACAACAACAACAACAATAACAATAAGCGTGTGCAATCGATGGTTGGAATGATTGGAGGCAATCGAAACAGCGACTCGGGCAGCAATTTTGCTGGTAAACAAGTCTCCATGTCCGGTGTACAAGGCAGAAGCAGCATGAAGGGAATGATCCATGTGAATCTATCACTTAACCAAGATGTCAAGCTGAATGAAACCGAAAATGCCTGGCGACCGCGACTTGCAACCAAACAGGACGGTGAGAACAGCTCTGATATCAGGACAACTCAAGAAAAGGACGAGCTTGTGCGGCGGGTACGTGGAATTCTTAATAAGCTAACGCCCGAGAGGTTCGATACCCTGGTCGAGGAGATAATCAAGCTAAAGATAGATACACCAGACAAAATGGACGAAGTGATTGTTCTTGTTTTCGAAAAGGCCATCGATGAACCAAACTTCTCAGTTTCGTATGCCAGACTGTGTCATCGCCTCATTAGCGAGGTAAAAGCGCGAGACGAGCGAATGGAAAGTGGCACCAAATCGAATCTGCAACACTTTCGCAATGCTCTGCTCGACAAAACTGAAAAGGAGTTTACGCAGAATGTCTCGCAAGGTGCAGCCAAAGAGAAAAGGCTGCAGCCCTTCCTAGAGAAGATTAAAAAGTGTACGGATCCCAACGAAAAGGCTGAACTGGAAGCCCTTCTGGAAGAAGAGGAGCGAAAGATACGCCGCCGATCCGGCGGTACAGTGCGCTTCATTGGCGAGCTCTTTAAAATATCTATGTTGACTGGCAAAATCATTTACTCTTGCATCGATACACTGCTCAATCCCCATTCAGAAGACATGCTGGAATGCCTGTGCAAGCTCCTGACAACAGTGGGTGCAAAGTTTGAGCAGACGCCGGTCAATGCCAAGGATCCCGGTCGCTGTTATTCACTTGAAAAGTCAATCACCAGAATGCAGGCAATAGCTAGCAAAGGCGACAAGGATGGCGCCAAAGTTAGTTCGCGCGTACGCTTCATGCTCCAGGACGTTATTGATTTGCGTAAAAATAAATGGCAGACCTCGCGCAACGAGGCGCCCAAGACAATGGGACAAATTGAAAAGGAGGCTAAAAACGAGCAGTTATCGGCACAATATATTAACTACAGCGGCTCATTATCTTCGTCCAGCCCCAATGGACCGCAATCGGGTTCCGGTTCCGGTAAACGTGACGAACGCAGCAGCAGCTCTCGTTTCGGCGACTCGAGATCAGCCGGCGGCTATGGTGGCAGTCACAGTCAGCGCGGCGATGGCGGCGCCAACATGCGCCATCAACAATCGAACAGCGGCGGAGGCGGTGGCAGTGGCAGCGGCAACAATAGCGGCGGCAACAACGCTCACTCCAATGGAAACAATGACGATAATACGTGGCACGTGCAGACCAGTAAAGGCAGCCGCTCGCAGGCTGTTGACAGCAACAAACTTGAGGGTTTGGTTAGTTGTTTTCACATAACTCAATTTCGAATCGAATTCTTATTATATGCATAAATATTCTTTTGGCAGACATTACAGCTCAATCAGAATTTGGATACCAAAAAGATGGGCGGAGTTAATCAATTTATTTGGAATAACAATGCCAATAGACAATCCTCAACGCCAACGACAACGCCTTCCAATTCATTTGCCGCGCTCTCATCGTTAAACGATAAAAACAGCACCGACAGAGATCGCGACAGAAGCGGGCCCAGGAACAAGGGCTCATACAACAAAGGCTCTATGGAGCGTGATCGTTATGGTGACCGAGGTGAGCAATATCATATTCTATGCCCCCATTCAATGAAAGTTAATTAATATGAATTAAATTGATGTAGGCATGCACTCGCGAACTGGCTCGTCACAAGGCTCACGGGAGAACTCGTCGTCGCGCGTTGGCCAAAATCAGCAAAGCCGCGGCATGATGAACTCTTCAATGCAAAAATCTGCTAGTCACTCAAAGTATACTCAACAGGCGCCGCCGAGCCGGCCTTCCAACAAGGTAAATACTCGCTTGTTTTGCTTGAAAAGATTCATTTCTAATCCCTAATGAATACGCATCGCTTATAGGGTCTGGGTTCTGGTTCGTTAAGCAGCTCGGCCGGCATATACAGGGGGAGCGATCAGCAGCCTTTATCAAGTGCCTCAACCTCTGCTGTTTCTGCTTCTCAACCTACTAAGGGCGTTGCACCGCCAGCAATGTTTATTGAGCCAAGAGAAAGCGATCTGAAGCTCTTCAAGTCCGTCGTGTCGGAAATGATCGAACTTGCGGCGGGTTCCAATTCGGCCAGTCCAACGGTTGTCGAATGCATAAAGCGGATATCAGAGCCCCAACTGTGCGGCTTTTTGTTTTATATATTAACTGATTATTTGCATTTATCGAATGTGGGTAAACAATACAGAAGATGCCTGGCAATCACAGTTGCCCAACTTATGCAACAACATTTCATGTCTGTGGATCACTTTAAACTTGCATACAAGGAATTTAGCGAGTGCGCTAACGATTTAATTGTTGATATTCCTGAGTTGTGGTTATATATTCTTCAATTTGCTGGTAAGTTCTCTTATATTTATCTATATCTCTACATATAAAACTGCTTGTCTTGACTGACTGACTAATTGGAGATCAACTCATAGCCCAAACCGAAATAGTTAGGAAGCAGAAGATATTTTACTGAGACGGGGCTTTTGTCCACCACACTTACATGTGGAATAATTTCAAAAATCGCTTGTATGCATTTTTTTTTCTTACAATCCGATCTGTCGCATTATTGTTTCAAATTAATTTGAGGGGTGTTTCACACTTTACGGAAAATCCATTCTTCGCTGCAAATGGGTGTCAAAGAAGTGTATGAAGTTTCGTGTTAAAAAAGGTTTAATTATCGATCTTTTTCTTTGGGTTTAAGACTTTTAACAGCAATACTAACCGGTAACCGTTGATTTCAACCTTTGGTTCTTTATTCGACGGACTTAAAGCATATTTTCGAATAGACGTGGAGTTGAATATAGTATGGCTAGATTTAAATTTTCCATGAGCGGCAACTGGGTATAAAAGCTAATATCTACAATTATGGACACAGAACTAGATTATATATTAGATATTTTAATTTTCCTGCTAGGTTATAATAAATTGAAAACTTTAAAATCGATGATATATAATGCATCGCTAACTTTGCTGTTTCTATGTAATCGTCAATCTGTAATTAGTCAATATCGAAATCCTGAATTTATTTAATGAAAATCTAATAATCGGGCAATACTCGAACGCATTTCTCATAGTGTGGGCTTAGGGGATCTCCTAGTTGGACACTCTGAACTATGTACCGTCTGCTAAAATTGTTAAAACTATATTTTCTTGTTTTGCGTAGGCCCACTGATAGTCAAGAAACACTTGACAGTGTCAGATCTGTGGAATGAAACTCTGAGAGACAACAGCGAACCGGGCATGGGTAAAAAGTTCCTTAAAACCTACCTGACATATTGTACACGGGAAGTAGGACCTAACTTCACCCGCAACATGTGGAAACAGTTTAACATGCGATGGTCAGATTTTATGCCCGACAACGAGGTTATCGATTTTATTGAATCGAATGTAAGTGAAAGCGTCTTTTAAATAATATATAATAAATTTAGCGCATCACATTAACTACGTTGAATACCCGCACAGAGATTAGAGTATGTGGAAAATGATTCGAAGGCGCCAGTGATTGAAGAACGCGAGTCCCACGAAAAACACGTCAAAAATGTGATAGACCATATTGAGAACTTGCTTAAAGAAGGCGCAGCTGCAGATTGCATTATAGATTACAGCAATGTAAGTTTTTATGTGTTTCATTTCATTTTATAATGCAAATACATATTTAAATCGTATTCTCAACATTTGCAGGGCAATATTGTGGTCGCTGATAAGCTGTTTATTAGAGGGTTGACAAAAACTTTAAGCAAGTTTGCAATCGTCTACAAGGATAATACCTATAAGCTCGAGCCCGAAGTCTTTCAAAAGTGTTGCATACCAGTTTTTCAGCGTTATATTGATTCTAGTGAAGACCTTCAGCTTGAGTGCCTTTATGGAGTACAGCTACTTGTCCATAGCTTGGAGCAGCCTAGAGGTTTGACACTTTCCACCCAATGAGTTTGGGTTTTGATTTGAAAATACTAAAAAGTACACTAACTTACCTTTCAGGGCTGTTGAGTGAACTTTTTGGTGAACTTTACGACGGCTTTATAATCCAGAAGGAGTCGCTGTACAAATGGCGCGATTCAAAGGATCAGTCAGCTGGAAAAGGTATTTATCTTATATATATATATTACCTTTTGGTAATTCATTCATTATTTATACACTCTCTCCTAATTCAGGCGTGGCTGTAAAGAGTCTCAATCCTTTTTTGAACTCATTATTCAATGATGAAGCCAATTAATGTATCAATATGCTCGTAGAGTTGACAGACATCGCGAGTTAGGGCAAAGCGAAAACAAAACTACATAACTTAATAAAAAAAAAAAAAACAAATACACTTTGGAGAAAAATAATATATACTTTTATATGTAATAAGAAAGTGTAAAATTCGGGTGTTTGTAATCAGAGAAAATATATTCTTCTTCGCTGATGAAACACGCGAGCTTATGGTAAGAGTATATGCAATAATAAGCAAGTATGTAAATTATTGTGTACGCATGTACTATAAAATAAAGCAAACCTGAAGGAAATTTATAGTTATAACTGGTTTACTGACAATGTTATTGACAAGGACACAGTAAAATATGTGCGGATGCAGACGCAGCTAAAAAGCTATTTGTATCTCACCAAAATGGAACGAATTGGAGCAAAGCATAGCCGCGGTTATTAATGGCAAAGGGTAATGCCTCAAGTCTTTTTGTAGATGAAAATTGTAAGTCGAAACACAAAAAAGATATTTAAAACAAAATTCAATCCAACCAACCATAAAAGTTATCTTACAAAATTTTATAGACTTAATTGCCTAATCGTTTATATTTGTATCTCTAAGAGACTATCAATCTATTTGTAACTTAAAGACGACTGATAAGTCCGTTTTAAATATAATGTTTTTAAAGGTAAACAAAAACGACTACCAATTTTTTGTAGCATTCCTGTTTTATTTTTACACGATATTGCGTAGGTATAACATTCAAATTTGTTCTCTAACCGTTTTTGGCCGCATTTAAATTATTTGTAAATATTTAAATTATTGTTAATTATGTTGTTATTATTTGTCACATCTGCATAATACTTTTCGACGCACAACCAACAGAACTAAACTGAACTTTTTACTGTAGTTGCCTTTTGCGTCATATTCAAATTTGTTTTTTCAAATTTGTTTGCGTTTTTTTTCACACCATTCGGGAAATCAATCCATGGGGGAGATGGGGCCTAAAGATTCCGTTGGTAAAGTTCCGGGTACAAATTCATTATCTTCACTTTGCTCAGGTAGAATCCCAGCTTCCTCCGTATTTAATGTGATTAAGAGTTTTTTAGATTTTATTTTTTTAGATTCCTCCAAACAGCATATGTTTCAATATTTTTTTTTTAAGTTTACTCGTGAAAATCCACCGCTCGTGGATGAGATAGGAGCGGGTAAAAGGCTGAATGAGCGAGGTTCGGGCTTGCAAAGATCTTTTAGAAAATGCATTTAGACATGTTTTACACTTTCCAAAAAATCGAAGCTACCTCGCTGGTAAATTCGGTTAAAAGATTATATTGCTAAAAAGTTTAAATAGTGATTTTCAAACTTGCTTTCGAAGAGTTTTGGAAAATATATTCGCAACTGTGGGAAATTGGAAACTTTTTTCATCTGATAATTGGTTGAATAGGCCAAATTTTTAATGGCAAGATAATTTATGAAGATCTTTTGAGATGTGTATCAAACTATTCGGATATTCCAGCCTTCCTTGGCGGTCGTTTGAAATCTTTTGTGCCTTAAACTTATTGCCAGAGTTCAACATGAAAAGTTTATAAATAAGTATAGCAACGACGGATTGGAAATTCCACCAGGTTCAAAGGGTTTTTTCAGCAAACACTGCAAAAATATAAGTAAAACCAACTGTTTTGCCATATTGCATATTTGTATGTAAGGTAATATATATTTCAAACTATATGGATTCAACAAAAGTACCAAGCATAGTTCGTAAGTTTTAAAGTGAAAACTTTTGAGATACTCTAAACCCAACTGCAAATTGTCGAAACATATTTCCGGAATGCTTCAATTCCGGGATAGATAGGCAGAATCCGGGTCCAGGGAGTGCTTGCTACGAGAAAGACTTGAAAAACATCGGACTTCCTTACATTTTCTATTGATGAAAACTTTGAACTTGATGCTGGCAAAGGAATCGGGTATCAAGCAGCATTATAACGAATTTTAATTCAGGTAACATAAAATTGTGTCCTATGTTGAAACGTTTTAATAAAAATGATACAGACATAGTCTAGGTTAAAAATGCTTTATTTGCAGCAATTTAATAATCATAAATTGATTTTTAATAATATTTTAACAGGTATATAACAAATATGTAATTTCAAGGTGGGTTGAATTTTCGATTTTTCGTTTTTTAAACTCAGTTTCTCTTCATCAATTATAATTCATTTTATTTCATTTCAATTCATGTCATTTCATTTTGTTTAACTCTTAATCTCAATCTCACTATTTTTATGTTTGCACTTCATCTCAGTAGACGCTTGTTCCGGCAATGGTTGGCTAATTTCTTTACAGTTACTATTTGAATTAATCAATGTTATTTTCTTATCGCCTTTTCTAATAAAAATATGTTATTACCTACAGCCTATTATTCTAGATAGTTTTAGTTTAAACTATGTATATTTAAGATTAACTTTTCGCTTTTACTTTCTTTTATTGTAAAAGAAACAACAATTCGCATTTTAAGTAACTTGTAACAATGTCGTTTTACGAGTTAATATTAGAATCTAATAATAACAATTAACTTTCATTATGTACATATCTTTAAGTATGTGACTTTTAACTTTTATCGCATTAGAGAACTATTTATCTTTTTCCCATACAAGTTGGTTTAGTTTGGTTTGCCAATAAATTTATGCTAATGAATTATGCGTGTGTGCTTGTATATGTTAAAAATCAAATAAACCTTCGCCCTATTGGTTAATTAGACTTTTTTTTGCTTAATTTCGATTGAAATAAGTAAGGAAGGACAGTTTTAAACAATCCAATAACATATTTTTTATTTCTAAGAATCTGATCTAGATATAAAGGCGATAGCTAATACCTACCTGCAAAAAATGTATAAAGCTTTTTCCGGGGAAATACTTGTAAACAGCAACATTTTATACACAATATACAATACAATATCCTTGTATTGCACTCATGTTCTTTAAGTTATTTTTTTTTTATAAACTTTTTTTTTTCGATTGATTAAGTTGCCCGTTCATCTTCTAGCTCTCCAATTAACCAGGCATAATGAATAATATAGACCTCAATTGCATAATATGTTGAAGCACAAATAAGAGCAATATGATAATCAATTGCTGTGCTCATTTTGTAATTTGTTGTTGTTGTTAATTAATCTTGGTTGAATGCTTTTTAAAGTATATACGCAAACTGTGCTATGCTTTTGCCCGTATGCAGCCTGTTTAAATACTGCTAAATCGTGTTTAAAGTTATTTTATAATCAAACTTGAATATATATGCGTATATGCATACATGTATATGTACGATATTAATTTTCTTTAACTGCAATATTTTGCATTATTCTGGTTTCAAGCGATGCCACTGGACCACAGTTTGTTTGGGCTTCGAAATCATGTCCTGCCAATGCTTCGTCTCCGAGGCGCCCGAGCCGTTTTTACCTATTGAATGTATATGAGAAATTAATGTATTCTGCAATAAATCGTATTTGATTTATCTCTTGCCAGCTAATAATATTCTGCCGATCAGCTCGTTTCGTCCAATATTATCGAAATCCATAACCATGACATCCAATGAACATTCACGAATTTTTTCCCATGGTACGTTAAAGCTGAATGATTCGTTGAAAACCGGATTTAACGTACAGGTAAATATAGGTGTTTTTCTCTTTTCGACGCGTTTATCTCCAAATTGAAGCCAAACCTTTACATACGGATCTGAAAGGTAAATCTTTTGTTAGCTGAACGCTGAACTATAATCATTCGTCATTTATCACATTTGATATTCACACTAACTCATTCTTTTCAAATAAAAAAACTCGTCGATCGTTTGATTTACCTGACTTTCCGTTGATATCCTTGGCTTTTAAATTCCTCGCCTTGATCAATGTCAATGTCAAAATGGAATTTGAAGGATGATAGCACAGCGAAGATAGAAGTTCACCACATTTATCCTTTGCCGGCGGCTTCAAAGCCTTCCAAAATGATTGCTTGCCAGCAAAGTCAACCTTTAAGTACATACCACAATATAATACATATACCACAATACAACACAATTATGCAATAAATAAATAAATAATAAATTTTTATTTTATATTTGGCATATCTTGGAAATTCGCTGATATCTGGGAGGTTTTACCTGACACAGCGGCAAAAATACTTCACCAATTGAATCGTCTCTTGAAAAACGATCATAATCAAAGACATGCAAGTGAAGTACCTAAAAATAATATTTTTATGATTTATTTTATCATATTAAATATAGTTAACTTTAGCTACACAACTTACGCGCGATTGAAGCTTTTGAATTGGAAAGCCCTCAAAATAAAATGTTTCATTCCATCGCGGATTCAAGGTTCTTCGTTTGATTTTGGTTTCGAGACGATGCTTTTTATCTGGCAATAATGTGACTCGAACGTACGGATCGGAGGTTCCGCTTAAATCTTTTGCCGGTAGTTCTTTGCCTTGTAGAACCTTTAGAATTAGGGTTGTATTTTGAAAATCATATTCCAATGAGAAATGTATTTGTCCAACGTTTTCACTTGAATCTGTGTCGAGGTACATATCGGTCATTGAAATGCTTTTGTTCTAAAATATGGAAAATACGATAGATATCCAATTTTAATTTTATATTTAGTATAATCTGCATTAGTATCTGTACCAAAGAAATTTAATCGAAGATCAAATATTTGGCCAGACAAATGTGGAAACATACTGCCAAATTTCTGATCCCAGCCAATTAAGATTAATACAACAAGGCTTTCGACAGATTGATTGGTTAGTACTCGAATCTCGAATTCTACTCTATAGATGACGTAATTATTATACGTACCGCTGTATCCTTAGATGTACCATCATTTGCACCTGATCCTGTGGAAGTATTTGATTTTTTGGTTGGTGTGGGCAACGTGCCGCTCCTAGAAACAAGATAAATATCATTGAAAAGGCAGTCCAGGGAATTTAATGGGCATATATGTAGACGTACCCAATGAGAGGCGTTCTGAGATTTAAAAAGCCATTCAATTTTCGATTTATGTTATTTTGTATAGGATTCGTAATGGCAGGGGCAACTGGCACTTGAGGTTTGCTTGGCGGATTTCCAGAGTCCACATTGTCCTGCGCAGCTCTAAGTTAAATGAACGGAACACCAAATCATTTTATTATAGGTCCCAGTCAGAAAGTTAATAATATAAAACCCTTAGACATGATATAGAAGAAGTTATATGATGTAGCTCAATTTCGATCCCGATGGGGATAAAAGTGATACACGTTGAGAAATCGTGAAAAACAACCCGACCGATTATTCCTAGTGATCTACATTATATAGTATTTCGATTTTCACAGGATTTTGCTCATAATAAGTTAGGCCACGTTCGTAATAAAAATTTATAGAACAATTTATTTAATCACTATATCCGAAAATATAAAAAATTAGCCTGTATTGATATAATTTTTAATTCAAAAATAAAAATGAAATTCAAATATTATTTTACCTTTATATATTAATATTTAATATTTAAAAAATTATAGAATATAAAAATAGTACATTTTTATTATAATATTACATTTAAGTATAAAATTATTATAATTATTTAATAGCTTAAATAAATTTTAAAAATTACAAAGTGTAATAAATTAATAAATTTAATAATTAACTGAAAATAACATATAATTTATTTTAATAAAAAATTTTTAAATTAGTAAATCAACAGAATAATTAGTTTTATCTAAAAAAAAACATCAATATTAAAAGTCAATTCAAAATCTTTCCATTTTAGTTTTACACTTTATAAACAAGTAAGAGGTTCTAGTCGGGAGCTCCCGACTAGGGGATACCCTGAACCCTCTTCTATCAACATCAAATGCATATATATATTCTATTTTAGAAGCTATATGTCAAGTTTGGTGACTCTAGCTCTTATTATTTACCAAAAATGCCAAAAAAAACAGGATATCGATATCGATTTTTATCGATTGCTTGGAAACGGAGTAAGTTATCGATTATCGGAAACAAACTCGATCTGCGCGGGAACTAGGATCATCTACATATAAAATTTCGACTCGGCTATTGGTGCTGATCAAGAATATATACCTCATAAAGTGGGTCGGAGATGCTTCCTTCTGCCTGTTACATACATTTGGATTTTGCACAAATACAATATACCCTTATACCCATTTTTAATGGGTTCAGGGTATAAAAATGGTATATACGTAAAGTGTTTTTTCAATTATTCGGTTCATTACAATTACTAACTATTGCCAGGATATTCCTGGCGTATTTTATAAATATTCTTGTAATAATCAGGTTAGCGTTGATTAAGAAATTTATCATCATTGTTGAAAATAATATCGACATTACATTATTTTACATCTGCATTTCGTTCTTTTAGATCAGCATTATTCACATGCGAAATGTTTCCCTGAAGTAGTGTGTTATTCTGATCCATTTTACTTTCAATGGAACATCATCTGTGTTATCAGATTCAATAACTAAGCTTTCGCAAAAATTATATTATATTTAAAAATATCACTAGAATCCTATTAAGGTATTTATTTGCAATTTCAGAGCCTATACTGTTTCTGAACTTGTCTTTCAAATAACCGAAATGTTCTAATATCGAGCGTCTGCAGTTACAGAGAGTTACTGAGACCAGGTCGCAAAGAGTTCTTCTCTTGATTATTCGAGCCAAGTCGCCTTCAAAAACTAGAAAACTTCTTTGGGCAACAATAATCAGTAAAACCAAAAAAAAAAATAACAGGGGAGTTCCAAAGAACAGATGCCTTACCGTGTGGTAAGTAGAAAAATGCATTATTCGTGGCTTACATTACATTTATGGTCATATTTGCTTATTGGACATCTCTAAATCTATAAAACGCTTTTTCATTGATTTAATATTTATTTATTATTATTATTTTATTTTAACATTTTTATTATTTTCATTTAAAATCTGCCCCGTTGATTTAATATCTTGTCACGAATGTGGGATCTCTTACAAAATTGATTTCCGCAAGGCTGACCAATGCTTGTTAAACCGAAGGTTCCACATGAATAGCCACAGTAAAGAACAACTATGAGTAATATTCTAATCTTGTCGGAACGGCCCGGCTAGGAGATACCTAATGATATTATGGAATCATAAAATTTGACTTTGTTTCTTGGGTTATTTTTATGCGAGATTCTACATACATCTTACAGTTTTTGAGCTATGCTGTAAAAATCAAGTCTCCAAATAAAATTCTAGCGATATTTTATAATTGGGAGGAGATATCAATTAAAAATGATAAACTTGTGCTGTGTATGGTATACGAGAATATACCATATATACATATATAGAAGCGTGAGATACGACTCATCTCGTCGCCCTGATTAACAATCTAGAGCACTTGTATATGACAGAGGTATGTCTGGGTTATGTAAGTTCATACACCAATCACTAAATATAAAGCTTATACACAGAGTAATATTATTATTGTTTGTTGCTTGGAACTTACCTCAAACTATAACTACTTGATTCCTCATCTTCATTTGGTTCAATAAATTGCAATTGTGACCTTTTGTGCCGCCACCACAGATATCCACCGGCTAAAAATAGCGCTATCGCAATGATTAGACCCAATATAGCTAGGCAAGCTATTAATATTATGCTCGCCATATCTGTAAATAAATTATAAAGTATTACACTACTCGCCTATACTATATGCCTACTGATTACACCATGCAACATTATTTTCTGTCCAAATAATAAGTAATAAGTAAGAAAGTAGCATATATTTTGTAGATTCGTGAATGAAAACCCTTTCTTAACCTATCCATATACATATACATATACATATACATATACATATACATATACATATACATATACATATACATATACATATACATATACATATACATATACATATACATATACATATACATATACATATACATATACATATACATATACATATACATATACATATACATATACATATACATATACATATACATATACATATACATATACATATACATATACATATACATATACATATACATATACATATACATATACATATACATATACATATACATATACATATACATATACATATACATATACATATACATATACATATACATATACATATACATATACATATACATATACATATACATATACATATACATATACATATACATATACATATACATATACATATACATATACATATACATATACATATACATATACATATACATATACATATACATATACATATACATATACATATACATATACATATACATATACATATACATATACATATACATATACATATACATATACATATACATATACATATACATATACATATACATATACATATACATATACATATACATATACATATACATATACATATACATATACATATACATATACATATACATATACATATACATATACATATACATATACATATACATATACATATACATATACATATACATATACATATACATATACATATACATACATATACATATACATATACATATACATATACATATACATATACATATACATATACATATACATATACATACATATACATATACATATACATATACATACATATACATATACATATACATATACATATACATATACATATACATATACATATACATATACATATACATATACATATACATATACATATACATATACATATACATATACATATACATATACATATACATATACATATACATATACATATACATATACATATACATATACATATACATATACATATACATATACATATACATATACATATACATATACATATACATATACATATACATATACATATACATATACATATACATATACATATACATATACATATACATATACATATACATATACATATACATATACATATACATATACATATACATATACATATACATATACATATACATATACATATACATATACATATACATATACATATACATATACATATACATATACATATGCATATACATATACATATACATATACATATACGCAGTAATTATCAACAGGCCTCTTCAATATGTTCATGAATTCACTTTATATATGTATTTAAATATTCGTTGTACACAATAAAGGTTTCACGTTTGGAACTGACAATATTGTCATTTCGTTTTATCTATATTATTTTCGATGATAACTTTTTTTTACCTTTTAAATGTTTTCATATAAATATGTAATCCTTTAAAAAATTGAGGATTTTCAACTATACTAATACGCATTAGCTCATGAGATTTATATTTTAGGCACAAATATGGAAACAATAGTTTAATGTTTAATGGTTTATTATTAAATATATTTTAACTGCGTATTCATTATGTGTTTGTCTATTTATTTTTTATAAAACACTTTACTTCGGCGACTTATGTATGTATAAGTAAATGTGACTAAGCAGCAGGGGATGACGATGACAGTAACCGAACTGCAAGGAGTACACAGAGAACTGAAAGCTCATAATCTATGAGAGTCCGAGGTATTGAAAAACACGGCAACAGACATGTATAGATAAATAAATGTAATGAAGTACGACCCGCCGACCTTAACACGTTAACTGATATTCGGAATGACTTTAAGCCTAATTATTTGAATAATTTGGGAGCATGGGATAATGCTCAACTTAACCATTTTATTGTTATTATAGGACTTACATTTATCAATGTATATGTTTGTATTATAAGAGCTGCAATGTGCTTTTAAGCTCTATTCGAGCTGACGACTGCGCATGTCGACTTATATTATCGTTATATTAACAGCAAGTCGACCAAAATACCACTCTACAGATACAATAATCTGATTATTGTCATCAGCAGAATAAATAAAATTTGTCAACTGATCCTAATAATATACTGATGCTGATTGAGTCAAGAGTCTGTCTCTCTAGGGCAAAAAAGATGACTTAAACGTTGCCATCTACTGAATTTACCTAAAAGGGCTCTATAAGATAAGATTGATAAAATATATAATATAATAATCTGCAGAATAAAAAACGTTTCGCTTTGCTTTTTTTTTTATTTTTGTTATAAGTAATAAATACGGTATTGAATTTCTAATGGGTAAAGGATTTGATTGTCGCTATGACTATTGTATTTTTGTCAGGTGGTCTTTTTTTTTTAGATTAGCAAAAAAATAAACGTTTCTTAAGAAAAATTAATTAAAATCTTTTTGGTTTTTAGGGACCCAAGCCTATCAAAATCTGTGGCTAAAAATGTAGATATGTTACATGGTGTACATATAATGAATACGGATCTCCTTGATGAAAAAGAACAGCAACCCAACGAAAAACGTTCATTCGAAGTTTTTTCATCCCATCCGCTTAAAATTGCTTATATAATATAATAAAATATAAAATTAAATATAATATAATATATCATATATATAAAAGATATAAATATATAAATCCTGTTTACGAATGTATATTTCGAAGATAATTACAGGATATCTTCGAGCCGGCCACTCTTATAAACAGATAATGGGCTGCAAGGTAAAATGTAAGTCTCTATTAAACCCTATTGCTATATCAATATTTTTCCGTATGGCTAGGAAAATACGAAGAGAAAGACAAAGAGTGAGAAAGACAGAGAGAGAGAGAGAGAGTGTGTGTGAGAGAGAGAGAGAGAGAGAGAGAGAGAGAGAGACCCCACGTTGAACTTTTCTCTGAGGCCAATTGGCCACATGCGCAATAAGAATTTTAATGATTGCGCATGTATCTGGCTTACATACTGAATGTCTGGCATTACTTCACCAGAGTGGAGAGTATTTCATTTTTAGAACGAACGATTCGATGTGGCCTCTAAGCATATTGCATTTGGCCAAGGAAATGGTTCCAAGGAACCAATAAAGAGATTCCATTTAAAGCGAAGAGCGAAAAGAGTTATATGTCTGTGCAGCTCCTCTTCGGGAATTGGATCATTTTGAGTTTAGTCGAAAGGTACCCGTTTCGCACAACGCACCTATTGTGTCACTTTTCGGTTGTGCCGAGTGCCCACAAATTTTGTGTGTGTATATATATATACATTTGTTTGTGTTCATGTAGGTATGTCTTTCCTGCATTCTCTGGACTGCCGTGAACATGTTCTAAAATTATTTGCATCTAGGTTTAATTCAAAAAATTACAATTGCATATATATGTATGAATCGTAGAGCTCTGTGCATAACTTTTTACATTACTACATAAATATAAGTAGTATGTATATATATATATATATATATATATATATATATATATATATATGTGTATATTCATTGTGTAATAATTGTGTAACGCTCAAAATGAAACTTGAATAAAAGTACATACTTAAAGTTTTCTTTTAAATATGTGAATGGAAATGCTCTAATGAAATAAATGCTCTTAGCGCAGTTATTCAAATCAAAATCAAAAAATATATTAAATAAATTAAATATTCGCAAAGTATTTGACATATGCCTAATACATACGTATGCTAATACAAATAATAATAATTACAATTTATTTATTATTATTATTTATTATTATGAAATGCTCTTATGAAAAAAGTGCTCCTAGCGAAGTTATTCGAATCAAAAAATATATTGAATATATTACATTTAATTAAATAACATATACATAATATATACGTATGCTAATGTAAACAATAATAATTATTATTTTTTGATTATAATGAATATTTTGTTGTGTCTTATTTGCAATTTCATTGTTATTCCAGTACCTACGGCTCGAAAATGATTAAAAATCAGACAAACAATAGAATATATTCGGAATAAGTATCGCACACTTGAAAAGGTCAACCAAATCTGTTGTACTCGAATACCAGCAGAGATAGGCAGAAAACATGCAAGAAGTCTTCGAATTACGCAGGTAAAGTGAAGCAATTCATTTTGTTACGAATTCGATAAAACTCGATGAATATAGCATAGATTGTTGCTATATATCTGCCTTGATACTTGAATACTTACTAAAGCACCATCATATAAGTTATAGGAACTTGTCGATGGAGGCCGGCTTATAAGAAATTCAATGATAAATAAAGTGCGGAAGGTATGTTTATACCAGATACACTGAGAAGCTGTATGATCGAGACGGACGTATCTTCCTATTTGCAAACATCTTCGACCGGACAGGTAAGGAGTTCATCATAGAAGACGCTTCCCAATAGCTCAATATCTGAACAATAAATGCGGTTCAAAGAACATTTTTTCAAACACAATCCTCACTTGCAAAGGTTCAAATAAAAGAAATGTAAATCTAAAAACCAAGCTTGCGCATCAGATTGCGCTGAAATTATACAAATTTTATAGTTAAAAAGTTAATAGTACAATATTTTAAACATTTTTTAGTTTTTCTGTTACAAATGTTTTATTCACATGTTTTTCCCTCTTCACGTCGACTAATGAAAGAATAAATATCCCACAAAATTAGCATAAGTCTGATTACATGCAACTAATCAAAGTTAACTAATTCTATTGTTAGGTATAATAATTGCTCTGGATTTTTAGGATAAAATTGCGAATACCAACAATACAACATTAATCAATCATATTTCAAATGTAACTAAAAATTATATGATACTCTGAGTTTTTATTAAAATTCTTGGTGTCTTTATGTTGATATATATATTTGCATTTTTAAGATTTTTAACAAAAAAAAAAAAAAAACTCATATTTGAGTATTTTGACTGCATCTTGTTGCCTTTTCACATACGATTTTTCCTTTCATTGTGCAAGAGTGTTTTCCAGCATTGTATATTTATGTACTATGTATGTTTTATTTTTTTCTCTTCTAAAACCAATTTATTTTTTTAACTGTTAAGAACACCCTTTAGTTTTTTTTAAAATTACGTAAACATGCTTTTGTCGGAGCTCCGACTATAAAGGACGCTTTCTTTCAGTACTCCCCATCATATTCTTAATTTGTTTAACGAAATAAATTAAAATAAATTGTATATATAGATATACATTTATATTATACTATATACGTATATATTATACTATACATTATTACTATTTCAAGGCAAGAGAACGATGCACTTGAAAAAAATTCTGGGCTGGCACAGAGAATTTAAAATTTTTTCCTGTTCATCTTTGGGATTAATTCTGTATAATCTTTTATTGGGTTTAATTGTAGGGCTGTTCAAAATAGTGATAAAATTATCTGTGGAATTCAGATATTGCCCAAAAATTGACAACATATACATAATACAGATTGTAAATATTGTTTGTAGTTAAAACCATTACTGCGATTTCGGGCTTATTCTTCAGAAACTTAAATGAATGACTTACATCTTAAGGAGTTTTGCTTATAAGAAAGTAAACTAAGCAATGAAAGCGCCCTAAATATATATATTTATATATATGTATGGTAATTGCATATGTATGTATTAAAAATGTATGTATGTGTATATATAAGTACACCTTTAGACATTTAATATACCATAAAAAAAGTACGTGTTTTAAAGCTGTGTGTGTATGCGCATATATTTGATAGTATTTCACAATACTTTAAAGCACACCTATTAATTTGTGTCCTGACAGCTACTCAAATATTTAGAAGTAAGATTAAATATCTTTGCAGATTTAAAGCAAAGTATTGATATATATCATGTCGTGTATAACTACTCGATTTTCGTGAGAATATTTCTATGGGAGTTATACGAAGTTTTTTCAATATAAATTTCTAAATAAATCGAATTTTATTTTGCTTTTACATACACAGTTGTCGGGATAATTATTTTGACAAACATTTTTTATGACTATCATCGCTTTCTAAATTCATTTGAATATGATAATTGTAAATTTAATATGCCTAAATCAAATATACAAATTGTATAAGTAATATGATATAATAAACTTTTTCAAAATATAGAAATTCACAAAAATTTCTGTCGATAAATATTTGTGCCGACCACTGTACAAAAAAAAAATACAAAGATATGTCCAAAAACAGCCGATTGCGGCTGTTTGTGATCGGATTGATTTCACGAATTTTCGCGATTTGTGATTTGTGATCGGATTGATTTCACGAATTTTCGCGATTCGTGATTTCAAGAGATTGGAGTATCTACTGTTAATAGCATTGAAAAATTGAGTTAATGTCGACAGACTTCTTAATAAAAAAGAGGCAGCCAGCACTTTGTAATTTTTGGAAAAGACTATAGTTAATTTAATAAATGTCTTTTTATTGGAGATAGCGCTCAGCAATTTCCAATCCATTTCACCGATTGTAATTTTTACCCAATCCATTAGTGTTTATTTTTAATTTGTATATCCGTAACTCTCATTTCTTCTATATGAATGCTTGATAAATATTATTTGGAATAATACAATTTGTTTCAAAAGCGTTTTGGTGTGTTAAATGTTTTAATGTGAGCCACTAGAAAAATGTTTTAAAAGTCCAGCACACAAAAGTTTTCACTTTTTCACGTTTTCTAATCATTCAATGTTGAAAATGAAATCGTTTAACGTTAAAAAAAAAGTAAAACATTTAGAATAGATTCCCAATTAAATTGACACTTTTTAAAACTTTTTTATACGGGTTCATTTTCAACATATGCCACATTTGCTTAACCTGGATTATTTGATGGGGTAAATTGGCAGTAAAATTGTGAAAACTTTCGACTGCTGTTAAATGATATTAAATTTGGTTTGTAAGTATTTGTGTCTCTCTCTGTGTATAATGTAGGATGAATTTCACCCCTTCATTGAGGCATTATTACCATACGTCAAATCATTCTCGTACTCTTGGTTTAACTTGCAAGCTGCTAAACGCAAGTATTACAAGAAGCACGAAAAGCGTATGTCCTTGGAAGAAGAAAGGCATTGCAAGGACGAGCTACAGGTATGGCCTGAAGACTTAACATTATTCTAAATAAATCTAAATAAATAATCTGAACGTGTTGATTGCAGAATGAAAAAACAGAAGTGAAACAAAAATGGGCTTCCCGTCTTTTGGGTAAATTAAGAAAGGACATAACACAAGAGAGTCGGGAGGATTTTGTTCAATCGATAATCGGCAAACGCAAATCGATTTGTGTCCTCTCCAATCCCGACCAAAAGGGCAAAATGCGACGCATCGATTGCTTGAGGCAGGCTGACAAAGTCTGGCGCCTGGACCTGGTTATGGTTATCCTATTTAAGGCCATACCATTGGAGAGTACGGATGGAGAGCGCTTGGAAAAGAACCCAGAATGCCTTCATCCGGGTCTATGTGTGAATCCATACCACATTAACGTCTCTGTCAGAGAGTTGGACTTGTATTTGGCAAACTTTATCAATACGCATAACTCAACGATAAATCCAGTCGCAAATTCCACTATGACAAGATCAGCCGCCGTTTGTGGTCACAATCGAAACAATAATTTGTCAGTTGACAGAAAGGAAGATGCTGAGAATGATGCAAAAACGAAAAGTCTAAGACATAATCCATACAATGGAGTTGTTTGCAACGATATTATTCTGGCAACAGGAGTCTTTTCATCGCAAGAACTCTGGACACTATCCAAAGGTGCACTATCATTTAATTAGCCTTAAAATAAATATTTATTTCTGCTCTATTTTAGATTCAATACTCGATGAAATAAGCGACAATAGCTTGCATACGAACATCATAAAGCGGGAGAATATGGGAGCTGCCTTTGACTGCAACACATACCAATTGACCCCAGATTCGCCAATATCCAGCTCACAAGGTCGGGCTCAGGCGGGAGCTATTGTCGCCAACCCGATTCCAGGTGGTTTTAGCAGTAAGTAGCTGAATATTTAATAGCAATGGGATTATATTGTAAGCCCAACTCACATCGTTCGTTTCAGTTGACTTTGTCGATCAGAATCAGAGAAGTGTGCATTTATCGACATCTCCCATGTTACGGGCGGATACAACAAATGGTTCCACCGATGCATGTAAGATAGATCACAGCTCTTCGCCGCCAGCTATTTCCCGTACAAGTACAAGCACGGACAATTGTACAACCGGCAGTTTTTCCGTGATTCTTCGATCGGCAGATAACATCAATTCCAATGGCGAGCCCGCGGCTACCTCTGAATCTTCTTCAATATCTCTGCATCGATACACCCCATTAAACAGCAGACCAATTGCAACAACTATGGCACCAATTCGTTCAACAGAAGGTAATACTACTTACTGTACAGGCTAACTTGAACAAACATTAACCATGGATAAGAAAGTGGCTTAGATATTTATATTATTCAAGTGTCGTCTTCCTTTGCACTCTAAAGATCCCCATCCCAATACTTATTCGCCTAATTATGGTTTTGACGCTCACACAACAATAATTGCTTAAACATCCGAAAATACACAGTTCAGACCATAATTCAATGATCATATAAAATAAAGAAACAATAATCACATTTATTCTTTGGTAGCTATACTAAATCAAAGTGAGATTAGCATTAGATTATGATTATAGTTTAAGTGCATTTGGAAACAGAAATAGTAAGTGTTATAGTTGTCCGATGCCGATAAGCTTGATTGCTTACGATTGGTTTGAATATCTTAAGAAACAAAGCAGTTATATTTAGCCTGAACCTACGAAAATTGTTAATATTAATTTAAATAGGGAAAATAATTAAACAGGCGGGACAAATCATCCCCAACCCATAAAGCTTATATGTATGTCAAGAGATCAGGCAGACGACCTGAATCGTACGCATGAATCCCGGACAGCATACACAGAACGAGCTAAACACTTTTTGTCGATATCACACAAATTACATATATATTTCCTGTTTTATGTTCTACTATATGCCTGAAAGAGTTTTAACCTTCGGCTCCCGAAAAAGAACATATTTTTATACCCTGAACCCATTGTACATCGGTGAGAAGGGTATTTTGTTTTGTGCCGGCAGAAGGAATCATCTCCGAGCCCGCAAAGCATTCTTGATCAATAGAAACTGTTAGAGCTAGAGTCTTGTTTTCAATAATCGAATAGTTGCCCCTGTTGCTAAGCAATCTATAAAAATCGATATTAAAATACTGTTTTTGAGCATATCTCTTAGTTTTTAAGATCTAAAGTCACGAAACTTGATATATAGAATATTATAGAATATTATATAGAATAGTATGCAACTTCTAGAATAGTATATCTATATATAGAAACTTTCTATAAACAGCTACTGCCCCCTCCCCTCTAGAGTGAGCTGCATTTGGTATTGGTAGAAGATGGTTCAGGGTATTCTCAAGTCGGGCACTCCCGTCTAGAGCACCCGTACTTGTTCTTGTAATTCCATTTTAATTTAACTGCCAAGCCAAATATTAATCTGTATACAAAAATTTGTTCTCTTTTATAGCAATTCTGCACCATAACTGTTCCACGTTTCTGGCCACCTCTGTTAGCCCAGTCAATACACTGTATTATCCGCAGCATAGCAGCCCAAGACTTCAGCCACACACTACGATATTAGATCAGGAGCATGAGCATGCCCAATCCCAGTCTGAGCAACAACAGCAATCAGAGCCTCATGACATTGCCGATTTTGTCACATACGTGTGCCAGGATGGGGGCCATTCAACAACCTTAACTTCTGAGAATCCCGTGTTTCAGCACCCTCACTCGCATCAACTGTCCGCGCACAGCCACACCCACTCGCCACACTATCAGATACACCAACAACTCAGAAATTCAAAACTGGCCACGGCTGCACCCTCGACGCACTATCACAGCACAATGCTGCCGCCCATGCTGCCGCCGATGGCACGACCTGTGGCCATAATTCGAACCAGCGGAGATTTGGCAATGGTTCAATCACCGCCATCGTCTGCGGTTAGTCAGTCTTCAAGCCTGTGCGTACCGAAGACCGGTTTGGTCGATGATGAGAATAGAACTATTAATTCTATGGAAAGCAATCACAGTCCGATTAACTCCGATACAGATCCTAATACTAACGTCGACTGCACAACACTTGTCTCAAGAACCTCACCACAACCACATCAATCGCCGAGCCCTCATGTTTCTACCGAAGATGCTCGATGTAAAATGTCGCTAAATTCTCTAACTCGAATCGCAGCGCCAATGTATCCTTCAACTAATAGTCGGGAGTACTTTAATCACTTTCATTCTCAATCAACATCGGTAAGTAATGCATTGTCAAGGCTCAAATGTATGGGTATTTGTATTTAGAGCCTAGATTTGGATCGCATATTACCACATTGGGCCACAAGCGATAAGAAGCCATTTTATTTTGATTAATTTATTCAGGTAGCATTATTATCGAAGAGAGTCTGCGGCAATGAAATTCAAATCAAAGTTTAAGACTATTGCCCAACTATATCCCTAGGAAACATAGCCACTTATATGCTTATAGTTTTATTAGAGCATCCATGCCATTATTTAAAGAGAAAAAGTTACTAATGATTTTAAAGTAGTCAGAAGGTAATTCTCCGAATCGCGATAAACTCATATTGAATGTATATAGTGGGGAGTGCTAGACACTATGGGAAATGTTTTTTTGCTTCGCTGCTATTAATCCGATCTTTAATAAATATTGGGGCATACATATGGTATCCAAATGTGTGTAAATAACAAACTCTTAGACTATGCTTAAAAAAATTCTACATTAATTGTGGAACTAGGGAGGTAACCAAAAAGATTTCGCTATCTGTGTAAATTAAACAACAGGCTACATAGCTAATTTCGTATCTCTTTGAAAGTTGGATTTCGATATAGATTTATATCGATTTCATATAAATTATCGATGCTTTTAGGCAGACAAGCACAGCTCAATCGTATCTGCCATTGATGCTGATCAAGAATATATAATATATATAATTGTTGGTGATGCCTCCTTTTATCTGTTGTTATACATTTACCCATGTATAATACACTTTTCGGACTATATGCGGGTAATACATTTGGAAAATATTTATACTTGCAGTTACTTGGATATGCCGGATCTATTTCCACAATGTCAGGTGTTATAAGTCCTACAAATCTAAGCCTATATTCAACCCCAACTATGGCTGTGACCTCTGCACACCGTTCAAGTATCAGATCCCGTTGGAACAATGGACTTCCAGAAGACGATTTTAATTTAATTCCGCACTCTGTAGCTAGTACAAATATAGAAAATACACAGGTTATATTAATGGAAGATGGTAAGTTTTTAGTTCCCAGAAATTTATATTTATTTATTTTTAACATGGGTTCAGGATCCATATAAAAAACTGTTTGTCCTGACTGACTAACTGACTCAAGGTTAACACATAAAAATTATAGTTATTTTTACCAAACTTATTTGGTCAAATTTTTATAAGAGGTGCTTCACATTTTTTTGAAACGGGTTGGTAAGGAAAATTGTTTGCTTAAATTCATTTTTAAGGATCTTTATGAAAATTCATTGGGACATGTTTCAACTTCCTTTTAAATGAAAAATGCGCTTCAAAAGTTGTATGAACGAATTTTATTTGCCGGCTTTCAACCTTTTGCCCTAATGCAAAGGATTTTAAACTCATTTCCAAATATCTATGGAAATCATAACATTAGACGTAAAGTTTAAGATAGTGATTCGATTTTTAATCGTGCGGGAAATGGGGAATTCATGTCTTACTTAGAGGAGAGGAAAGGAAAAGATGCGAAATACCAGTTAATTTATTATGAAAACCATAGGTATGTTGCAATTTAGATTAACAATTTTAAAAGACATCTCGTATTTTAAGATTTAAATGAAATTAGTACACACAAATTGAAATTTTTTTGATTTCAGCAACGGGTCGTTTTACCGATGAATACTCAACAAATCCAAATCGGGATTACGTATCGTGAGCTATTGACAGAATATCAACAAGCTGGGCTTTGGGCAAGCCATAACTGATATATATATATATATATAAATATGTTTAATGGCATATGTCAACATCATCTATTTTTAATTAAATAATTTTCATTTAAATTTAAGCAACTGTACATAGAACATCTAGAAGTTAATGCTATTTTAAAGAAAACGTACCTTAGAGAATTCTATAAAAATAAGCACCAATAGGTGTATCTCAACACATATATTCAATAACCTATGCATGTATGTATATATATATATATATATATATATATATATATATATATATATATATATATATATATATATATATATATGTATATGCATTAAATAGCATCTAGGGCTACCAATTTATGTGGAATGTATGAATTTATCAATGGTCTAATGATATACTCATGCATACAGACATATTTGTATGCCTATGTTTCAAATGCAAGTATGTACCCATGCACATAAATACATGCATATTTAGATTACATGCACAACTTCTATTGAATCGGTCACTAAATATACGTACGGAGGCTTACATAATAATAATATAATAATAATGTGTACGGTTTTGGGAGCATTGATGAGAATATGATGATGATGAGAATATGGAACATTTGCACAGTTCAGAGACTTGTCCAACTTCCAAATAACTGAACATATATTATAACATATGTATATTACAACATGTTTATACATATATTATAACATATATAAATATTTATTATTACATTTTATTGGGACGTATGTAATCACATAATTTGTTGTGACATTTAATAGCAGTGGCGACCGCTTGAAAAAAATTAAAATATTAAATATCATGGAAGATATTGGCATGCAACATGAATACATAGTATATGTACTGTTGGTTATTAACATATTAGCTTTGTTCATTAATTGATTTGTCGATAATTGTTAAATAATGAAAACTTAGCAGATCTGAAAAGTAATAACAATAAAAGTGGCACAAAATCATTTCAATAATTAAACCAAAATATTTTTATACATAGCTTTGGCCAGCTTAAAATATTGGTAAATATGTCCTCCTTATATACATACATCCCAATAAAATATTATAAATGTTGGCGTGTAGGTCTATAGAATTTGATATTCATTCTTGCAAGGCTAAGCACAATAGCATAAATGGTTCTGAACTATGATATAAATAATAAATAAAATATGTATGTATTTTTGAAAGACTACGTTAGTTATACTAATTATATTCAAAAGTATATTCATGCATATGAACGTAAGCAAAAACATGTGAGAACTAAATATAATGAAATATATTAAAATGTATAAATTATGTAATTCATAAGACTAATAGCATACTCTCCTTCTACCTTGCAAATATATTATACAAATATGCTATTTTATACACATTGTTCATACAAGTATGGATATAGATGCATATAAAATTAAAATAATTGCGACAATATTAGATTTAGTAACAATTGTGACAAATACACATATAAGTACATTTGTGAATATATGTATCTATATGTGGGTACATGGTAATTAAGATGTAATCTTGAGATACTTGATAAAAATGTCTAAAAACATGGCTCATACGAAGAATGTGGGATTATCACAATGTACGTTTGCTTTCAAAAAAAATCTTCCAAGCAATAAGACGAATCGAGACTTTAGACTGTATTTATTTTTAAAATACAATGAAATATTTCTGGGTCTTTGCACTGACGTCGTTCCAGGTATTTGTAAGAAGTCGTTGTAGGAGTATTAATTAAAGATACTAACGCTAAGACTAAAAATTCCAATTTAGTTTGAAAGACATGCTACCTACACAACTTACTTACTTGAACCTACTCAAAATCCGTGTACAGGCATATGCATATGTACTCAATATATCCGATATTGAAGCTAAATTATTTTAAATGAAAATGTTAATTACTCTTTGATTTTAGCTTTAGAGCCATCTCAGAGTCATGTATTCTTCAAATTGCTTAATTTATTTAATATTAATTCAATTGTTTAGATAATGAACATATTTTATACATGCAAACATGTATGCATGTCTATCAATATATGTAGATATGTTTAATAAAATATCTAAGTATTCCATGAAATAGTATATTTATATATGCATCATGTAATACGTAGATATTTATATAATGTATATATATATACTTATATATACATATCTACACACATATATACATTATATATATGATCAATCTGGTGTGCAAACATGTACATGTATGCATGTGTTAAAAAATCCCCAAGTTTTTCATGATACATGTAAATGTATATATATTTTTATATGTATCATGCAATACGTAATATATATATATATATATGTATATGCATATATATAAATATATATACCTTATGTATACGTACATACAATAACGAAATGTTTCTGTTTTTTTTTTTTATTTTAAGATATAAGTTACTTAGTACAATAATAATTGTAAGGTATCGGCATGTGCGAAAATTGAAAGAATATTTATTGTACGTTGACAAATTGGCTGTGAACATAATCTATTGCTAGTTCTGGTTAGTAAAATACTAATGTATACAACATATATATGTTAGGTTCATAAGTAGTTTGCGCTTTCATCATTAATGAAAGTGAATTTTAACTACTAAACGTAAGAGTGCTATCGGTTACTTTATTAGTACTTATAAGTACCAATAATACTATGTGTATATTGATCAATTGCGAACCAGAATAAAATTATAAATAAAATTTAAACATACTATTTATAACTTTCTTTCTTCATACGATCGAGTTCGAGCTCGGCGTAAAAAACGTTTGCGGAAAGTTTATTTTTACTAATTTAAATGACTTTTTTAAAGTTACTTTTAAATTTCCCTTTAAAGTACGTACTCAAAAAGAAATACACACGACGAGAAAGAAAGGCTATCTTCGGCACGCCGAATATCTAATACCCTTGCAGACCCAACCTTTTCATGATGCTTATAGTGCTTTGCCCGTATCTAAAAAGCACAGGGAAAAGAGGTAATGCCGAGTTTGGTCAAGATATATTGATAAACAAAAAAAGTTTTTAATGAAAAACCTAGTTTTCGACTGATCATTCCTATGGCAGATTTATGATATAGTTGTCCGATCTTAATAGGATTTTGAATATATATGAGGAGCATAGTAAAACTAATAAATGCCGAGTTTGGTCAAGATATCTTGATAAACAATATGTTTTTTTATACAAAAACTTAATGTTCGACCGATCGTTCCTATGGCATCTATATGATATAGTGGTCCAATCTTAATAGGATTTTGCATACATATGAGGAGCTTAGTAGAACTAATAAATGCCGAGTTTGGTCAAGATATCTTGATAAACAAAATGTTTTTTCATACAAAAAATTAATTTTCGACCGATCGTTCCTATGGCAGCTATATGATATAGTGGTCCGATCCAGTTTTGACATATGTTCTGCGTTCAACAGAAATAGGGACTTCTGCAAAGTTTCATTAAGATAGCTTTAAAACTGACGGACTAGTTCGCATAGAAACAGACAGACGGACAGACGGACATGGCTCTATCGACTCGGCTGTTGATAGTGATCAAGAATACGTTTTATGGGGTCGGAGATGTCTCCTTCTATGCGTTACACATTTCACGACAAAATTATAATACACTCTGCTAGGATATAATAAGCAGACACGTTATACAGCGGCTGTGCTTCCTCCTCTCTTAACTTCTCTTAATAGCTTCAATAACCGAGGTCTTCTCTTTATGCAACTGTAAAGGTACCCAAATTTATGCTATGTTGAGTAAAATACAATAATATTAAAATAAAGCATGCCTAAAAATTCTTAATTTCAAACGCCCGAAGTATCTGGTGGGGATTGCCCACAAGCATTCGAGCTTCCTTGTTTCACATGCGTAAACGCATGCACGCGCACACATGCGTTTCCGCTGCTTTCCGCGATTTACTTCGTTTTTGTTTACTGTCCATTGCCTATGAAATTTTTAGGACATAAAAATGGGATCCATATTTTTGTGTAAATACCAAACCCAAAGATTGTACGTCGAATAATATTCTAGACCTGTGTTCATTGGAAATTTTATCTTGAAAACTTCTGTGCTTGTTGTCCAAACCTCATAAAATATACATATTCACGCCATTCAAATAATAGCTTTAAAAATCAATTTTTGTTGGGGGCAAAGGAAGGTATGTCTGTAAGTTTCACCTGCGACTTAACCTTTTAATTTATCAATCGCTTGTGGCCAACATTTATTTAATTAGACCATTTTTTTTGTGGTTCCTGATAAAGACGCGTTAATAGAAACGGACGTAACTCAGCTCGTCGTCATGATCAAGAATGTATATACTTTATGGGGTCAGACATGCCTCCTTCTGCCTTATAAAAACAATGTATGGATTCTAGAGACTTTGGGTTATATTCCAGAGGGCAAACGAAATTATCATCCGGAAATAATGTCGGGGAACTAATTAAGTCTATGTAGACGAGATAATATTTGAATCCATCGAAAAGTCTTCAAAACGCGGTCATAAGAGTCGCCTAAAATAAATTCAAACTTTTCAAAAAGAGCGAAGAATACTTAGGATTCCTTGTGTACAGAGGTGGAATACAAGCGCTTTCTGATAAGGTTCGGGCTATAAATTATTTCCAACCTCAATTTGGCAGAGTACACAGCAGAGAGAAGTTGTCACGGCAGAGCATAACCGGACTCATCGAGCAGCTCAAGGGAATGTGAAACAAAATCTTTGGGAGTATATTTTTTCCAGAATGAGCTGGTTACCAAACGCAGAAGTCGGACACATTGAAAGGTAATAACTAGAACTTCTAACTTTGACTTTGATTGAGATTAAGTTAAGGCCCGTACAATTATTAGAATTGTAAAACAGACAATTAGACATAAACACTAAATTCCAAACGCCAACTAAACTGCAAGGTCTTTGAATATAATTTGCATACATATACTAATCATTTACATTAAGCAATTCTGGCAAAAAACATTATAATTAATACAATATTAGTAGATTTAATATTGTCCATAGCTATGGATATCAGAGAACTGGCAAGTTTTTATTTCAAGGAATATTTAGTATACAAATGCCAATAATACAATATTCATGGTACACTAAGCGATACAAATTGTGGAGTTTTGAAGCATCTAAGCTATATATTTTCTTCTTGCCCTAGGGAATACTCTGAACCTTCTCCCAAAAATGCAGCTTTATACGATAGCCTTTACGACTTTCTTTGCTTTCCAGTAATTCAAGT